CACAATTTGTTGCACACCATGCCCACAATGTTAGACAGCAGGAATAAGCTTTAACCGGCCATTTTTTCCTGCCAACACGAGGGGTCCCCTCTTCACTTTCCTTCACGCTGCCAATCTGTTTGTGTCTTCCCACATGGAACAGCCGTCTCACTGGTGCCAACTACCAATATAGTACCAATGGTGCTCAAGCCGGCGGCGCTCCCACCCGTTGCGGCTGTTCCCAATGTGGCGGGGCAGCGACCCCTCACCCACCGCACTTGACTACAACAGATTGGGAACCCGTCGAGCGGTTCCCTCGACCTGCCCATTGTGAACCAAAATGAACATAGCAGAGTTAAAACCTCCAATTTAGTCGTCGCCCCTGCCGACCAAGACCAGACAGTCCTAGCGAGCATGTAAGACAAGCCCCCGTGTTTGTGTTTCGCTGTGTTGTAGAGCTGCGGATACAGGCAGAAGTGTTCATGGGCACCCCCCCCCCCCCCCCCCCCCAACCACTGCGGGAGGAGGAAGGAAACCTTTCATGCGGTCATCCCACAGACCTAGCGACCAGCCCCAGCCACTCTGCTGACAGGGCTGTCAATTGGGACAGGGCAGCGTCGTGGACACAGGGGTGTCAACCACTTGGCGACAGGGCAGAGTCCGGTGAACCCACCCGGGCCAGTCCCCCAACTGTGTTCCCCCCAGCTCCACGGAGGAAGTAGCTCGAGTAACAAGGTCCACAGCCAAGACACGAAGTCCAATACCATTGAACTGACAACAACAAATGTGTAATGACGCACTGACTGAATTGGTCTCTTTGCTTTGGTCAGCTCCGTGCAGGTCTGCCACAAACAGATCTTGAATATCTCCGGCCCAAACTCCCATTGGTTCAGGCTCAGGGCAGAGTGCTCCTGCAGCCCCTATCTTTTCATCTGGGACAAGGTCTTTACCTCCTGCTGGTTACCCTGGGGTAACCAGACACAAGGTGGGGAAAACGACACATTGTACTATTCATCCCCGGAGACTTGTGACGGCGACTGAAGATGACCTCAATAACCATCATAATCCCCAGAAACAAACCTTAATCTTCTCAGATGGTTTTTCGGTTCTGGCATTCCAGGGCCCTGTGTTTGGCTAATCATGTCCTACCTGGATTTTAACCTTTTGTTTAAGTATTTTCCAAAATGAGGAATTAGACCAAACAAATTAAAGCAATGGTCTGAGGATGTGGTGGTGGACCACGGACATAAAAAGAAAAGGGGACAGCTATATGAAAAAGCTTTAAATAAAGGTTAAAAGCCAGGTTCAGTGGACATGATTAACCAAAACACAGGGCCCTATGCAGGTGCAAAGGACTACGACTAACACAATCGACATACAGAACAGACTCTGGATAGTGCAAGATGGACTAAACGTGGGTGTTTGATGCCATATCTACTTACCTTTCTGTTGATTCAGTGGACAGCAGGAGTCGTCAGGTGAAAGTGAGAGGTTGTTCAGCAGCTTGGAGCGCAGCATGCCTCTCTGCCATGGGAGATTGGAGGATTTGTCATCTGTCACGTCCCAGAGTCCAGTTCCTGTGCACCCAAGAACAGCAGCACCCCCAATCTCAGGAAAGAACACAGCTCAACCTTCCAACTCTGCATTCCCCCCCCCAAGGAACTCACGCACCCCCACGAACAGACCCCTCATTGCTCCCAAACCACCAGCGCTGGCTGCCCAGCACCCCTCCAGACGCCTCCAAAAGACCCGCCGTCCCCCCCCTGTGTGAAAGATGTGATCAAGCAGTAATTGGACCTAATAGTAAACCACCCTTCAACTAAAATTTACTACTTGAAACATTTTTCTCACAATTGATAATTTAGTTACCATTGGCAAGATTGAATACTCTCATAAAGATCAAAGAGAAACAGAAAACTGGACAGCCAAACCCCCCCCTTCCTTAAGCGCGCAAAGATACTCAGAGAAGTTCTTGCTCCATTCAGTGAAACTCAACAGAAGTTAACTGTGAATTCAAGGGGTGAGTTGGGACAAAACAGTATTTTATTACCATACAAGGTGCCCATCCATGGCAGATGTAGTTGTACTACACACACCACCCAGATGGAATAGTATCTCACACTCGGCAAGCGATAAGTTCATCCTAGTCAGACGATGGTGACCTACCGAGAACCGCTCCTGTGGATCTTTGAGCAGGATGATGGAGACGAGTAAGGCTGACAAACGTCCTGGCCCAAGGAAAGACCCCTATCTTCAATAAAAAATCCCTGAAAAGACTATTTGTAATGGCCCCCCCAGTTCCCAAAGCCAATGCCCAAGAGAAAACGCTGACTTTTGTATTAAAGAACTACGGTTGCCGTCTTGTGGCTCAGATTTTAAAGGTTTATGGTGTCCATGATAGATAATACTACTAAGCAAAACCCAATTCTGATTACTACTGCCTTTAACCCTGAAGGACATACGGACTGACACCGCCGCGTCTCGCGCCTTAATCTAGAACATACGTCTTCGAGTCTTTATCAAATGAGTTGTATTTCAGCTGTAAAAGGGATTTCTTTGGAATTACAAATATTCTCATCATGTCATGTGATCTTTGATGACCCCCTATCCCTCATGAAATGTCAAATATGGGTGAATATTTTTTTTTTTACCACAATTAACTGTATACCCCCCCCCCGGACGAGCTAGACATAGTTATCACCCCATACACGTACACTCAACATCGAGACCCTCCACTCCCGAACGACAAACACCTTGTCACTTGTTAAATCGACAGGGCAGCGCCGCCAATGCCATCCCGTAGGCCACTTCGACATGCCTCCCACCGACCCAGGATCGTCAGCCCAAACCCCGAAGTACGGGCTACACATTCGACTTCCCATTCCAGGCTGGGAATCGCCACCAGCGGAGCAGAAGTTACCAACCCACGTCTCTCCCCCCTTTGGGTAGCTAATCTTGTACCTCTATCAGAGACACGTGGAAAACATCTCTGGAAAGGGAAGCAAACCACTCAATTTGCAATAATTTAGGGTCCTCAATTCTGCATCTCAACTCATTAGAACCGTTGTCTTATGATATTCTCAGCTCCCAGTTGTCTCCTACATAGCTGCAACATATTCTCATTACACAATGGACATTGTTGAGTCGTCTTTTATGTAAAAATGAAATTAGGAATCATAGGCCAGGGCCACCCAGTTCTATAAGATCTGCGGTACCCCAGACAGAACCCACACTTACACCGACCCCTCCCCCCCCCCACCCCCCACCCTACCCTCACGCAGCTTCTTTGACGAGATGTCCCAGGAGATGGTGGAACTGCGTAGAGCTCTCAAATCAGAAGAAAGAGGCTCCTTGCATAAATTATCGTAGCACTTCGCCATCCCACGCCCGATCAACGAAACCAGCCCCCAACATGGGCTTTATATCGTACAATATCCTCCCCCCTACATTTTTTTGGGAGCCCGTCTCCACCACCATACTGTGAGAGCTTTTTAGGAATAGTAGAGCGTACTACCACAAGGTGCATTTTGAAATTTGGTGGATACATCAGCAGATATCTTTGTTATGTCAGTCACTGCATGTCACCTCTCTACATAAACCCATGTCCACTATTTCTTTTTAGATTGGTAAATTAGCATGGTGAATACCGACCGGGGGGGGTACCACGTTTTGTTCGTCACTCTCAATCAGAATCATATATGCAAATATTTCTCTCCACCAAAGGCTACTAAAGTTGTAGAGGGGGCCGACTAACTTAAAAAACGTGAACATGTCGCACCCCTGTGCCCCCCGCCTGGGTGGGGAGCCCCCCCTCGTTATGAGTTCAGATTTTTGTGGCCCCCACCCCCATTAAAGTTGGCATCCCTGTTCTACGGCTACGTCTACATGGCCACACCACCTCACTAGGCCCCTAATCAATCACCCCTATCCAAATGACACCCCGGACAACATGCATTAGCCTCGGTCATACTCCCACCACCCACTCTGTCCTCGTTAGAGCAAAAACACTTTCTATCGCCATTTTTTGAACCCACCCCCCAAGCAGCACGCCCCCCGCTCTCGATTTCGGTCAACTCCCCCCACATCCAGACGTACGGGCCAACGCGGGTTCACCCTTGGATCGATTGAAATCGCACCGTATCTTTTTAACATGTCAATATGGTGAGATTCTTTGAAACCACTGTTATCAATGTGTTTGTTCATGTCCACACTTTTGGACTGCCTCTCTTCCAATGTGTTTTTAATATACCAACGTATATAATTCCACTGAAAAAAAGCTATTATATAGACCTACAGTGCCCACCATCTTTTGTAAGAATGTGGACTTTCCTGTATTTCTCCAGCAGGTGGTTTGAACATCCGCGCCCATGAGGTGGCAATAGAAGAAATGGGACAACCTCCTTCCTGGAATGTGAATCCTGACATTAGATGCATCGGCCATAGACACACCAACTCTGTCGAACCCTGCATACCTGTCATCCCATCACCCCGCCCGACCGGCCCATACACACTCTTTTTCGCCTGAGTCAGCACCATGCCCATCAGTTAAACATCAGCTAACCCTTTCGTTGTCGTCTCCCTCGCCAGTCTTATTTACCTAGTTCCCGCCCCCCCTGGACTCTACATCCTTACCAGAGTCCGCCGTCGTCTGAACGTTTGTGTCAACGTGCTTTACCACTACAGTATCACCGTACACCCCCAGAACCCATGACTGCTAAACCAATTAGTGACCCCTGCTGAGATTATTAATTGATTTAAATTTGGTAGTCATGTAAATTATAACCGCTGTGTTTATATATAGCCTCCCACACTAAAAACTAAATCCACCCAACCCTCACTGGTAATGAAAAAACACAAGTACATTTTTTTTGAAGATTTTTAAAGCTGTACTTTCCGGAAAGATTTGCAGAACTGGTAGCAGGTGTGAAAGTTGCCCAGTGCCCTGAGCTTTTTTGGGGGGACATATAGTAAGTGGTATAGCTCCCCTTACCATAGGCTGGAATTTACAATGTACATTCACAATGACCTCTTTATTGATCAAGCTATTGAATCATGTTGAGGAAGGAACTAACGTGACTAAAAAGAGCTTCAAGGGGGACGTGGCCCCGACCAGCCCACAACATGGTCATATACAATGCTACGAAATCTCCCTGGAGTAACATTGAAGCCAGTCCCCGGTAACCATCATAAAGCACGCTCCCTAACTGCAAGACTCAGTAACCCGGGCATTATCGAAAGTATTGGATCAACGTAAAAAGAGCAACGCTCTTAGTGTAACAGACTTACAGTTAGATCAAAATGACTATGGTCTTCAAAAAAATGTTTGGGTTTACTGATTGGAAACACTCCAAGGTTGACAGGTGTTGGTTGAAGTTGTTAATAACCAATTGAATTGAAATACATATTTTGAAATAAATACCACCAGCAGAAAAATTACGATTGACATTTTGGAATTATTGCTTGATGAAAATGTGTCACTTGTTCATAGATCCATTTCAAAATCATTGTAGTTGAAGTGGAGGAGAAAGTTTCCCGACCACCGTTTAAAGAAGGTTTTTAAGCCTGAGACACAAGTGAAGACATGGATGTGTATGTGTTGTATTCGAGGGTGAATGGGCAAGAAAAAGATTTAAGTGGCCTACGCAAAGGGTATGGTAGTGAGGTGCCAGGCGAACCAGTTTGAGTGTGTCAACGAACTGCAACGCTGCTGGGTTTTCTATGACTCAACAGTTTTCCTGTGTGTATCAAGAATGTCCACCCAAAGGACCATCCAACATTTTGACAACTGTGGAAGGAAAGCAAATTGGAATCAACATGGTCCAGCATCCCTATGGAACACTTTCATGCCCCAACAAATTGAGGTTGTCTGAGGGCAAAAAAGGGGGGGTGTGGCAACTCAATATCTGAAGGGTTCATACTGTTTTGTTACACTCGTGTACATTAACTTTAAGAAAAAGGGTTCTTAATAAAGATTGAATGTGTTTATTTGGCTTCTTTCGCAAGCCTGGCTAGAGAACATGCGATTTTGAGGAGTAAAATCAACTTTACTACTACCACACAGAACAAATGGTTGGGGACTGGTGATGTGAGAATGAGGGCTAGCCATTCACTATCACGTTTGACACTAAATCTGGGCGTCAGTCCAAGCGGCGGTCAGCACCTTCAGGTTTCATAGCAGAGACAGGTACAGTTACTGTGCGGGACACAAGTAAAGACCCATTAGTCGGGGAATACATGCTTAAACATCAGATGTAATCAGCAAGACTGTAGATATATATATGAGTTTACAGTAGTATGCGAGCCTTATGGGTCTAATGCATACTGTCCGTTGAGATGTTTCCTGAACAACATCGTCCTGTGTATCTTTCTACAGGGCGTTGCCTAGAGAGGAGTCAAGCCCCAGAGGGCTACTTCAGCCTGACTGATACACAAAGACAGGTGGAGTTGAATAGCTACTAGTCACTCGGGAAGTAATATCAGTGTCTGTGGTCCTATCCTGATTTGTCCCAATTGGACTGTACTTCTTGAACTTTGGACCAGGGCCAAGAAAAGTCAAACTGGGGGCCCCCCCTGTTTGTAATGCTGTTCAACCCATGGTGGGCCAGTAAATCAAAGTATATTCAATCCCCTGGTGTGCCAGTAAATGATTATTATTTTGTCTATCCCTGGTGGGCCAGTAAATCACATTCTTTGTTTATCCCTGGTGGTGCCAGAATACAATATTTGTCTTCCATGGTGTGCCTAGTAAATATACAGTATCCTTGGTTTCCGGTGGTTGTTATGTGCCAGTTAAATCAGCATTATTTCCACCCATGGCTTGACTGCACTCAGTCGGGTTCCATGCCCGGGGGAAAGTGTGCGCTTGAGTCCATAATGGTCAGATCGTACTGTCAGGTTCAGACAGACGACCAGAGGACCCAATTGCGTCACACCAGAAAGTTTATTAAAACTTAAGGGAAAAGGGAAGTAGGGAGTGAATGAAGGCTCCAGGGTGTTAACAGGGATCCCGTCCAATGGCTGGGTCTGTGCCCCACCCCCAGTGGCAGCGATGGCGTCCTATGAAGCCGGTGGTGGGTGGTCCAGAAGTCCTGGGGGGGGGGGAGACACAGACACAACAGGGCGGAATGAAACAAGGCAGCAGTACAGTTCAAGGGAAATCCAAAATACGTAGTAGCAAGCAGGCAGAAGGCTGGTCAGAGTTACCGGGATTGAAGAGTAGTCAGGAGTCGTTATGGCAGAAGCAGGTCTGGATCTCCTGGGGCAGAAGAGTATCCAAAAATCAGGCAGGTCCGGGGTCACAAAACCAGGGTGAGCCAGAAGCGCGAGCAAACAGGTTCCGGGTGTGAGCTTTGCAGACGATCTGACACCGGAGAGCTGAAAGACCGGGCCCTTAAATACTGGGAGAGGTAGTGGGTAATGCAGCGCAGCTGGCAGAGTAATTAGAGCAGAGCAGAGCAGGGACAGGTGGAGCTAGTTAGGCTGAGTAGAGAGAGTGGTGAGCAGAGTGGCAGAAAATTAAGGTGGTAACCCGGTGGAGTGAGAGGCTCATGACAGTAGTGATCATGAGATAAATAAGTTGTGATCTCGACATAACGAGGGAATTATTTTTGTATTCATATGTCCTCTACTGAACTCAACTAAACTTTTCCCTCTGTTATTCTTGTCTTTACTCCCCTGATTGTGCTCAGTTTTACCTGCAGTTATAGGCTACTGTATTTACTCATACCTATTTATTGTTGTGACGTCTCCTATTTTGATTATGTTACAGGAGCAGATTCCCCATGCAATACACAGTGTCTTGATCCTAGTGGAGAAGGAGAGCTGCCATCGCCCAGAGAAATGTCCTAGACTACAGGTCAGATCTGAATCAAGGGTTTCCTCTAATGATTTCCATCAGGCTTATCATTTCATAAACACTTGCATTCATTCTGGGTGGCTTGCTCTCTGATGTCACTGACTGTGCCATTATCTATCTATAAATAGATTGCTGTGGTGACCTCACTGAAGGGGTTGCACAAGCTGGTGGAGGGGAGCCAGCTGACCTCAGGCCTAGAGGGCACCCTTCCCTACAACCACATTGACTGGCTGCAGCTCCATCAGGTAGGACAGTTAGAGCAGAAAAGCGACTGCAGATGAGGTTCTGTTTGTTCCTAGCAGAACTCGTCTAGGCGTAAGCGCACACGACTGTGATCTCGAACTCCCTTGGAGACCTTCCCTTGAAAAATGATCAGTTGACCAATCACGACAAAGGGGCTGATAGGTTATACATTTGACTAAAGTAGACTTCGGCTACCAAACTTCAACTTGCCTTTAGAAAATAAATTCTGTGTGTGAACAAAAAAAAGAAAAAAAGAACAAAAATGGCACAACATTTTGACTGGATAGTATGCAACAGCCTTTTAACAGACACTACAGAACTCTTGTTTGTTGTTCTGCTTTGATGTCTGATGATCAGAACATTTATCTTTCAGAAACTTCATCCCTTTATGTCAGATCTCCAGGAGGCCTCAGGTTTGCTACTAACGGCCATCAGGAAACTAGAGGGAGGCTGTAAGATTGACACAGTGCAGGTATTGGATTTAACCTTGACGACACTGTATTATTGAAAACATGTTGGAATGGACTAGGGGTTCTTATTATCCTCAATACTTTCTCTCCCTGTGTGGCAGGATGCACAGAGGTGTATTCTAGAACAGAGAACTCTGATGAAGGATGTTCTGGAGGACAGCCGATTGGTCGCTTTGCAAAGGGAGGGTGGAGCCATGCTGGCCAGGCTGAGAAAGGAGAGTGACCTCAGATACTCTCACTGTGAGAATTACAGGTATACTACCGGTCACTGTTTAGTTTGAGTGGGATAATTGTGAGTCTTCTTCAAAATATGCTTATCAATGTAATATTCCCTTGACCTCTGACCGCTCTGTGCAGTGATGCGGTGGATTCTGTGACCTGCATGTACAACCATGTAGAGGAGCAGGCCCATATGCTTGTGCAAAGATCCAACATGTCCCTGGAGCACCTTGAATACCTGCTCCAACTCAGAGAAATGGAGGGCCACTTCACTAAGGTACATTCTGAGGCTCCTCATACAGTATACATAGTTTATATCTATTATGTAAATACATGGGATATTTAGTAACCACCCTCCCTTCTGTAGATCAGGGAATGGTTTGATACAGAAGGGGAACGGCGGTTGTTGGAGGCAGAATCGGTGGAGGACTCCAGAGAAAGTGTGGAGCAGACTCTCCATAGTTTCAGTGCATGCCTCACTGAAGCCAATGTAAGTCAGTCTATCTCCACTTACCCAATGACGCAAAGTGGTGACACTGTTTCATGCAGAAATGGAAGTGCCCATGAAAGTCCATGTTTCAATTTAATCTGATGTTTACTGTTACTGTCCATTAGGAGCAGAAGCACAAGGCAATGGCCCTGGTGACAGAGGCAGAGAAGATCCAGGGCCCATTCCCTGAGACTGAGGTGTTCAGGACCATGGTCTGCACCTTCAAATCTGGCCTGGCTGACTTCCTCTCCCGGGCAGAGAGGTGCTGTAATGAGCTGGAGATTATGGTCACTGTGTGCAACTTCTGTGAACAGGTTGGTGTCTATACTGAATAATGGATCGGTTGTTGTTCCACGTTGTTTAGTTAACATTTTACCTACAACATGTTATAAAATTCATACTGATGGTGACATGTTGTAGGGATATAGGGGAAAATGATGAAGCTTGAATTACTGTCAACTCTGTGTCTCTTTCAAGGTTTTTGAATAGGCTGAGGCTGCGGATCCGACTTTTCTGGACCTTTCTTCCCGACAGCTACAGGTCCCATAGCTTCTGCCCACGTGCGGGATTCTCTACTTTCTCTGCTCTACTCCTAGAGAACCTCCCATTTCTCACTGTTAATCGTGAATGATAATTCTAGTTTTACGGCCATGCAGCATCTACATATCAACCATTTGATCTCAATCAGTTTCATGGGGATATGCATTTAGATCTTCTTGAGTTATAGGCTACAATTTCGAAGTAGCCTACACTGTTGTTTTGAATTATGTTCAGTGAGCGAGGCATAGCCTACCTGTATTTAGTTTCAATCAAAGCACATATTTTGCCTGGTGCCGCGCGTTGTTGAGTTTTGGCCACATGAAAGAAAAATATGACCATTTAATCTCAATCATCCTAAAATCTCATAAGAAGTGTTTTTTGTCTTACAGTAGCAACGTTATGCTATTATATTTGGTTTTGTTATGTAGAATACTGTAATGACCCGGGCTGGGTCATGAAGGAAAAAGAGACGGACACCAGGTGTGATGGGCAGAACACAGGTTTATTCCTAAACTGGGCTATTGTTCAGGCCACTGCCCACGCCGCTAAATTCTGAATGTACACAAATACACAATGTAAAGTTAAGTGGCAGACTCATAGGAGCAGATCAGGATCCCGAATAGAAAGAGAGAGAGAGATGAGACAGTAGCCCCTATTTATGCATATAAAACCCAGCGGGATTACCCGTCATACCCCCCAACCTGGCATATTTAACCCCTGCTAGCACCCATGAGAACAATAACACACCCACGAACACAGAACACAATACCGGGCCGTTACAATACTATCATTATGTGATCTTGCAGACATTGATTCAGCTTTGATCAAACTTTATTAAAAGTATACTTCGGGATTTTGCCCCTTATCTACTTCCGCAGAATCAGATGAACTCGTGGATACCATTTTTATGTCTCTGCGTGCAGTTTGAAGGAAGTTCAAACTTCCTAACTAGTGTTAGCGCAATGACTGGAAGTCTATGGGTATCTGCTAGCATGCAGTCATTGCGCTAATGCTAGTTAGCATTGGCTCACGAAACTACCTCCAACTTCCTTCATACTGGACACAGAGACAAATAAATGGTATCCACGAGTTCATCTGACTCTGGGGAAGTAGATAAATGGGTTCATTGCCAAACTCACAAAGGTTCCCTTTAAACAAGCACCATTCACCAGAGTAGCCTGTGCATTAAGTAGAGAATCTCACACATGCGCAGACGTTTCGGGACTTTTAGCTGTCGGGAAGAAAGGTCCGGAAAAGTCGGCTCTGCAGCCACTCTATTTTGAATAAGTATTTTTCTTTTCTTCCAGGCTACTGAGCTGGCCAAAGACTGCAGACAATACCTGGACCAGGTTGTCAAGCGCCCAGAGACGGATGATGTCTCTACACTCCAGATGTACCAGGAGAGCTTTGTCCATTTCTCCCCAGAGCTCTTCCAGGAGGTGAAGGCCCAGGCGTGTGCTTTGAGGGGCTCCAGGGGCATGCGGGTGTGGAACGTAGCCTGGCTAAAGTGTCAGGAGGTCAGGCAGCAGCTGGAGGAGAGACTGCAGGATGTGGAGAGGGCCTTGCGGAACACAGGCCCCTGGCATGAACAACTTAGAGCTGGTGAGGATGAGGCCTCGGTTCAGACAGTGACTCATCATGATGGAGCTCTGTTACTGCCCAGACCTGGTCCACCACTCTGGTACAATCCCCCATCAGGCTCTATGGTGGGTAGGTATCATGGGGCCTTGGAGAGCAGGAACAACTCTGTGACCTGCTGTAATATCAACTTCAAGCCTGAGAATAACAGACCTTGTAAATGGTCAAAGATCACCACCATGCCGGCCTCTCCCCATATCAGATACATTAGGAGAGCGGAGAGGGAGCCCAGCGGGAGAGAGGCCTGCCGAGGGAGGAGCAGAGAGGCCGCCACCCTTGCCGACTCGCACACTTTGGGCTGTGAGTGGTTCCCGTGGCAACGCGGGGGTCTGGGCCGGTCCATGAGCGAGGAGTCGTGTGCGACCGCCGCGTCCAGTCAGTCTGAGACTCGCGTCCATACACCTTCCTGCTCCCACAAGCAACCCTCCTGTCGGATCCTGCAGGCCGCTCAGAAGTTCCAGATCTCACGGCATGGCAGCTTCTGCTCAGAGGAATCCTGTAGTGTCCAAGAGGGGGCAGAGTGGGCCTCTTCAAGGAATACTAGCCCAGCAGTGAGGAGGTGTGAGGGAACAACATCGTTGGCAAGTCCAGAGGAGAAGGCTGGCCATGTTTTGTGAGTTACTAATGGAGCAAGACCTTCACCTTAGATTGACTCAATGTGTTTTCACTTTTGCTTCATCTACTCTTTCTGTCTCTAAGCTTGCACTATATTGACAAAGGTACATTTCAATTATTGATTTTCAGTTATTTCCAGAGGACTGAACATGAGAGTTTGTGTTTGGCTGTGTTGTTGATATAACTTTATATGTCTGTAGGAAGCTGCAACGGATCATGGTGGAGCTACTGTTAACAGAGAGGGAGTATGTGCGCTCCCTGGGTTACATCCTAACTCACTACCTCCCCCTGCTGGAGAGGCCTGATGTGCCCCAGGACTTGCGGGGCAAACGTGGAGTCATCTTTGGGAACCTGGAGAAGCTGTATGACTTCCACTGCCATTTCTTCCTCAGAGAGCTGGATGCCTGTCAGACAGAGCCCTTACAAGTGGCTCGCTGCTTCCTGAGACACGTGAGTTTCAGTTTGCCTGCTCATGTCTCTTAATTCACATTTTCTACATGTTAAGTTTGAGTCCTATAACTATGTTGATTAGCTGAATTTGCTACTGAAGTTGAATACATTTAATATTCCTGTTGTGACTGTAAACTCTTCCCCATATATGCAGAGAGACAGTTTAGGCCTCTATGCACTCTACAGCAAGAACAAGCCTCAATCAGATGCCTTAATCCTTCACCATCGCCATGACATCTTCAAGGTGAGGCACTCCCGTCAATGCTCAATGTCAAAGATCAATGCTCAATTCCTATCAAAGCTCTCTCCATCCCTACTGCGACCAATCCTCTGTCTCCTCTCCTCCCATCCCAGAGGAAGCAGCAGGAGCTGGGGGACCACATGGACCTGTCCTCCTACCTGCTGAGGCCCATCCAGAGGATCAGTAAGTACAGCCTGCTGCTGCAAGACATGCTGGGGATGTGTGGGCCTCAGAGAGACAGGGAAGAACTCCAGGCTGCAGCCGACGTGGTCCGCTTCCAGATGCGTCATGGCAATGACCTCCTCACCATGGACGCCATCCAGGACTGTGACGTAAGTTTACCGTCCAAATCATCTCAATCTCCAAATAATGTATCACTTATGAACAGCTGTCCAAATGGGGCGTAGATGTGGGAGTATAAGTGGGAAATGATCACCCATTATTGTATGTACAGTATCAAGCATTTTCAGGAATACATTATTCTCCACTCCTCCCTCCGCCACCAGGTGAATCTGAAGGAACAGGGCCAGCTGATTCGCCAGGATGAGTTCACCGTGTTCTTCAGAAAGAAGAAATGCTTCCGTCGTATTTTCCTCTTCCAGGATCTCATCCTCTTCAGCAAGACCAAGAAGACCAATGTGGGCAATGATGTGTACATCTACAAACATTCTTTCAAGGTGTGTATACAGTATTATTTAAAAAAAACAGACCCAATTTACAGAATGCATTTTGAGTACTGTAATTATTGTTCAACAAAAATAATGCTATCTTACCAGCCTTTATGTTTGCTAAACAAAGACCAAATCATCCAGCCCTTATGTTGAAATTGGAAACAGCAAGCATTCTTTATTTAGTCTTTCTTTCTTTAGTCTTTCTTTCACTTCTGTTTCTGTCTAGACATCTGATATCGGGATGACCCATAACTCTGGAGAGAGTGGTTTCTGTTTTGAGATCTGGTTCCGGAGGAGGAAGTTCCAGGACACGTACACTCTGAAGGCTGACAGGGCGGAGGTGAAAAGGGCCTGGGCCAGAGACCTGGAGCAGATCCTCTGGGAACAAGCTGCCAACAGCAGAGGTGAATCCTAGTTTTGGGGGGGGAACTCAGTCCAGCTTTCAACTTAATCTTGAAAGTTGTAATAATAGAATGCACAAGGTGCAATTTCGAACTTGAGTAGTGCATCATCACTTTTCCTCTTGTCATGTCGGTCATTGCATACCTTAGAGAGCTATTTATAAATGTCCAGATCAACTAGCCCATGTCAGCTAATGTTCTTTAGCTAGGTTTCTTAGCCCATACATTTTCTTGTAATGTTTGAGTCACTCAAATATCATATGAATAAACATTAGACATGGCAAAATGTATAGAATTGCAAGAAAATGTGCTTTCAAACTACACAATTTGCTCTGCACACCATGACAAAATGTGTAGAATTGCAGGAAATAAGCTTTAAACCTGCACATTTTTCTCTCTGCCAACAAGAGGGGTGTGAACAGTTTGTGTCATGAACAGTGCTTGTGTCCATAGAAATAGACATGGTGCTCACAGGGGGGCGCCACGTTGGGGATGTTCCCCAATGCTGGAAGGGGAGCCTGAGCGAAAAAGTTTGGGAACCCCCGTGGAGGTGCAATTGTGAACAAATGCCATATCAGACGTTAAATACATCCAATTTATGTTTTGGTTCAGTATGTTTGAGCATGAAGACAGGTGTTGTGTTTCGTGTGTTGTAGAGCTGCGGATACAGGAGAGAGTGTTCATGGGCATGGGGAGGAAACCTTTCATGGACATACAGCCTAGCGAGGCAGCCATCTGTGACAGGGCTGTCAATTGGGACAGGGCAGACGTCGGTGACAGGGCTGTCAATTGGGACAGGGCAGACGTCGGTGACAGGGTCGTCAACTGTGTTCTGCTAGGAAGAGGTAACAAGTCCACAGCCAAGACCCAAGTCCCATACCCATGAACTGACAACACAAATGTGTAATGTACTCACTGACTGAATTGTCTCTTTGCTTTGTCAGCTCCTGTGCCGTCTTTTCCACAAACAGATCTTGAATATCTCCGGCCCAACTCCATTGGTTCAGGCAGTAGTGCCTCCTGCAGCCACTCATCTTTTTCCTCTGGACAAGGTTCTTTACCTCCTGTTGGTTACCCTGGTAACCAGACACAAGGTGGGGAAACCGATCACATTGTCTATTCCTCCCCGGAGACTGTGACGGTGACTGAAGATGACCTCAATAACCATCATAATCACCAGAAACAAAACCTTAATCTTCTCAGTGAGTTTTCTTGTTCTTGCATTAGGGCCCTGTGTTTTGGCTAATCATGTCCATTACCTGGATTTTAACCTTTGTTTTAAGTATTTTCCAGAAATGAGAATTAGACCAACAAATTAAAGCAATTGTCTGAGGATGGTGCTGGACCACCTGACATAAAAAGAAAAGGGGACAGTATGATGAAAAAGCTTTAAATAAAGGTTAAAATCCAGGTCATGTGACATGATTAACCAAAACACAGGGCCCTATGCATGGTGCAAGACTACAGACTAACACAATCAGACATACAGAACATGACTCTTGATATGTGCAAGCATGTGACTAAACGTGGGTGATGCCATATCTACTTACCTTTCTGTTGATTCCAGTGGACAGCACGGAGTCGTCAGGTGAGAGTGGCAGTGTGTTCAGCAGCTTGGAGCGCAGCTGCCTCTCTGCCATTGGTGGAGAGGTGGAGGACTTGTCATCTGTCACGTCCCAGAGTTCCCAGTCCTGTGTCACCCAGAGAACAGCAGCACCCAATCTCAGGAAGAACAGCTCACCTGCCACCATCAGGAAGAAGCCCTCCATTGCTCCCAAACCACCAGCGCTGGCTGCTCTTCAGAGCCTCCAAAAGGTGTGGTGAAATGATGTGATCAAGCCAGTAATTGGACCTAATAGTAAACCTTCATAATAATTATACTGAACATTTTCAAATTGATAATTTTAGTTACATTTTGAATATTTAATCTCTATAAAGATCAAAGAAAACTGACAGCCAATACCTTCCTCACAGGGCAAAGAAATGGTTGCTATAGGAAAATCAACAGAAGTTTAACCTGTGCATTCAACGGGTGAGTTGGGACCAAATACAGTACTTTTTATTACCATACAAGGTGCATACATGTGCAATGTAGTTGTTTAACATATTATGGAATTGATTTCCTTCTAGATGGTTCATCCAGTCAGATTGATGGTGCAGCCTACCGAGAACGTCCTGTGGATCTTTGAGCAGTGATGATGGAGAGCAGTCAGGCTGACAGTCCTGGCAAGAAGAATATTTCAATTAAAAACTCTGATAACAGACTGAATGGACCACTAGTTCACAAGCACTGAAGAGAAAGTGACTTTTTGTCTTTAAAGAACTACGGTGGTCTGTGGTCAGATTTTAAAGGGTTTATGGTGTCCATTTATCTGATAATACTACTTAAGCAAACACTTCTTGATCTACTACTGCTTTAACTGAATGGCTATTGTTTTGCTGTCATTGGTTCATAGAACATACTTTTTTCTTTATAATATGAGTTGTATTTCAGCTGTAAAAAGGGATTTCTTTGGAATTTACAAATCATTCTCATCATGTCATGTTGACTCTCTTGATGACCCCATATCCCCATGAAATGTCAAATATGGGTGAATATTTTTTTTTTACACACATTTAACACTGTTTATAATGTACCGGTAGACATGTCAAACTCAAATAACTGACTATAGAAACACTTGTCCCCATTCGTTTTCTCTGCAGGCTCAGGGCAACTTGTCAGTGGCACTCTGACATGATTTCCTGCCCAGATTTGTAGATAAATTAGGGATCAACTTGATATCCAGGTGGGATAGCAGAGGAGCAGCAAGTTACTTAATACGTTTTTTTTCCATTTGGGTAGAAAGCTTTGTACTCTATTGCCGTGAAAAATCTCTGGAAAGGGAGAAAACCACTCAATTTGAATAATTTAAGGGGTCCATCTGGCATTCTCAACTCATTAGAAACCAGTGTCTTATGATTATTCTCCAGTTTAGTTGTTCTAATAGTTAACATATTCTCATTACAAACAATGTACATTGTTGAGTTCTTTCTTTTCTGTGAAAAATGAATTAGCAATTTTGCTTAGGGCTAGGTTCTATAAGATCTGCGGTAGATGACATCCGTATAGCAGTTTTGACGATGTCGGAGATGGAACTGCGTTAGAGCTCTCAAATCCAGAAGCGGCTCCTTGCATTAAATTATCGTAGACACTGCCATCGGATGCAACGAAACCACACCTGGCTTTATATCAGACAAATCCCATACCCCCTACATTTTTTTGGGAGTCTCCACCTACTGTTGAGAGTTAGAATAGTAGAGTACTACACAAGGTGCAATTTTGAAATTTGGTTGTACATCAGCAGATTATCTCTTGTTATGTCAGTCACTGAGTCACTCAATTAACCCATGTCCACTATTTCTTTTTAGATTGGTAAATTAGTCATGGTTGAATTACCGACCGGGGGGGGCCCACTGATTTTGTTCGTCACTCTCACTCAGATATCATATATGCAAATATTTCTCTCCACCAAATGGCTAAATGTGTAGAGGTGGGCCGCTAAAATGTCATGCTCGCATGGTGGGGGGGAGCCCCCTCGTGATGAGTTCAGATTTTTGTGGCCCCCACCCCCATTAAAGTTGGCCATCCCTGTTCTAGGCTACTGTCTACATGGCCAATAGGCTATAAATCCCCCCATCCAAATGAACATGACAACATGCATTAGCCTGTCATCATCTCTGTCATCGATAGAGCAACACTTTCTATCGCCATTTTGAACACACGAGCAGCCGCTCTCCGATTTGTCAACTCACACTGCAGTTACGGCCAACGCGGGTTAACCCTTGATCTGATTGAATCGCAGCCTATCTTTTTAACATGTCAATATGGTGAGACTTTCTTTGAAACCACTGTTATCAATGTTAGTTTTGTTCATTGTCCACACTTTTTTGGTTTTATTTTTCCAATTGTGTTTTTTATATAATACCCAACGTATATAATTCTCACTGAAAAGCTATTTATTATAGGATCAGTGCCATTTTTGTAGAGAATGTAGGACTTTTCCTGTATTTCTCCAGCAGGTGGTTTGAACATCAGCGCACACTGATGTTGTGCAATCAGAAGAAATGGGAACAACCTCCTTCACTGGAATGTGAATCCTGACACTTCAGAGGTCATAGGCCATGACTCAACCTTGTGACCTGACTGACCGAGCATAACCCTTTTGGTCAGCACATAGCCATCAGTTGAACATCAGATAACATTGTTGCGTAGGCCAACCTGTTGAACTGTACCTTCCTCTACCAGAGCTCCCCTCCGCTGTCCTGAACAGTTTGTGTCACACGTGTTACCTACAGTATCAGTACACAGAACATGAGTAAACAAATTAGGCGTTGAGATATTATTGATTTAAATTTGGGTAGTCATTTAATTATAACCGCTGTGTTTATTAATATATGTTACATAAAACAATAAAAGGTAATGAAAAAAACAAGTACATTTTTTTTCTGAAGATTTTTAAAGCTGTTGTAAAGTATTTGCAGACCTGTATGCAGGTGTGAAGTTTGCATGTGAGTCTTTGTTACATATAGTAAGTGGTATAGCTTTACCATAGGCTGAATTTACAAATGTACATTTCACAATGACATCTTTATGTGATGCAAGCTATTTGAATCATGTTGAGGAAGGAACTAACGTGACTAAAAAGAGCTTCAAGGGGGACGTGGCCTGACAGACAACATGGTCATATTACACATGCTACGAATATCCCTGGAGTAACATTGAAGCCAGGACATCATAAAGCACGCTCCCTAACTGCAAGACCAGTAACACCGGGCATTATCTAAAGTATTGGATCAACGTAAAAGAGCAACGCTTCTTTAGTGTACAGACTTACAGTAGATCAAAATGTACTATGGTTCTTCAAAAAATGTTCTGGTGTTTTACTGATGGAAACACTCCAAGGTTGACAGGTTGGTTGATAGGTTGTTAAACAATTGAAATTACATATTTTGCAATTAAATACCACCAGCAGAAAAATACGCTTGACATTTTGGAATTTATTGCTGATGAAAATGTGTCACTTGTTAAATCCATTTCAAATCAGTGTAGATGAAGTGGAGGAGACAGTTTAAAGAAGGATTTTTAAGCCTTGAGACAATTGAGACATGGATTGTGTATGTGTGCTATTCAGAGGGTGAATGGGCAAGACAAAAGATTTAAGTGCCTACGAACAGGGTATGGTAGTAGGTGCCAGGCGCACCAGTTTGAGTGTGTCAAGAACTGCAACGCTGCTGGGTTTTTCATGCTCAACAGTTTCCTGTGTGTATCAAGAATGTCCACCCAAAGGACATCCAGACAATTTGACAACTGTGGAAAGCATTGGAATCAACATGGTCCAGCATCCCTATGGAACACTTTCCATGCCCCAACAAATTGAGGTTGTTCTGAGGGCAAAAGGGGGGGTGCAACTCAATATTTGAAGGTGTTCCTAATGTTTTGTACACTCAGTGTACATTATTACTTAAGAAAAGGGTCTTCATAAGATTGAAATGTGTTTTTATTTGGCTTCTTTCGCAGCCTTGGATATAGAACAATGCGATTTTGAGAGTAAAATCAACTTTACTACTCACCACACCGAACATAATGGGTTTGACTGGCTGATGGTGAGAAGAGGCTAGCCATTCACTATCACTTTGCACCTAAAATCTGGGAGTCAGTTCCAAGCAGGCGTCAGCACCTTCAGGTTCATAGCAGAGACAGGTACAGTACTGTGGACACAATATAAAGACCTCATTAGTCGGGGAATCCATGCTTAAACATTCAGTATTTAATCAGCAAGACTGTAGATATATATATGAGTTTACAGTTATGTATTTTTATGTGTCTCATGCATACTGTCCGCTGATATGTCCTGAACACATCTGTCCTGTGTATCTTTCTACAGGGCTGTTGCCTAGAGAGGAGTCAAGCCCCAAGGCTACCTTCAGCCTGACTGACTCTGCATCAAAGACAGGCTGGAGTGCATCCGCTACTAGTCCCTCTGGGAATGTAATCTCAGTGTCTGTGTCCTCTCCTGATGTCCCCATTGGACTGTACTTCTTGACTTTGGACCAGGGCCAGAAAGTCAAACTGTGGGAGTTTGTACTGCTGTTCAACCCATGGTGTGCCAGTAAATCACAGTATATTCAATCCCTGGTGTGCCAGTAAATTATAGTATTTTGTTATCCCTGGTGGGCCAGTAAATCACATTCTTTTGTTATCCCTGGTGTGCCAGTAAATCACAATATTTTTCTTCCCTGGTGTGCCAGTAAATTACAGTATTTTGTTATCCGGTGTGCCAGTAAATCACATTATTTTCCACCCCTGGTGTGCCAGTAAATCACATTATTTTCCACCCCTGGTGTGCCAGTAAATCACATTATTTTCCACCCCTGGTGTGCCAGTAAATCACAGTATTTTCCACCCCTGGTGTGCCAGTAAATCACATTATTTTCCACCCCTGGTGTGCCAGTAAATCACATTATTTTCCACCCCTGGTGTGCCAGTAAATCACAGTATTTTCCACCCCTGGTGTGCCAGTAAATCACATTATTTTCCACCCCTGGTGTGCCAGTAAATCACATTATTTTCCACCCCTGGTGTGCCAGTAAATCACATTATTTTCCACCCTTGGTGTGCCAGTAAATCACATTATTTTCCACCCCTGGTGTGCCAGTAAATCACAGTATTTTCCACCCCTGGTGTGCCAGTAAATCACATATTTTCCACCCCTGGTGTGCCAGTAAATCACATTATTTTCCACCCCTGGTGTGCCAGTAAATCACATTATTTTCCACCCCTGGTGTGCCAGTAAATCACATTATTTTCCACCCCTGGTGTGCCAGTAAATCACATTATTTTCCACCCCTGGTGTGCCAGTAAATCACATTATTTTCCACCCCTGGTGTGCCAGTAAATCACATTATTTTCCACCCCTGGTGTGCCAGTAAATCACATTATTTTCCACCCCTGGTGTGCCAGTAAAAGTGTTTACTTTGCACCATCTGTCGCCATCATTAGACCAGGGAGCTGTGTAATGGATATGATCTGTAATCCAGTTGTCTATTTTTCTTGGCTACAGAGGATGCCGTTTACATGGAGGAAGAGAGAGACAGGCAGGAGTATGTGCTATCCCAGGCTGGTCTCATCTACAAAGGCACAACAAAACAAATCAAAGCCTCCCGTGGATGTTTTCCCAGGTACACATAACAGGAGGTTGGTGGCACGTTAATGTAATTGGGGAGGACGGGCTCGTGGCAATGGCTGGAGCGGAATCAGTGGGATGGTATCAAATACTTGGTTCCATGTGTTTGATGCCATTCAATTTGCTCCGTTCCAGCCATTATTATGAGCCGTCCTCCCCTCATAAGCCTCCTGTGGTACACATAGTGCTTCCACAGAAGATCTTTATGTGATAGATACAATAAATGTCGCACACATCATTGGAATCAGAATTACGTACAGTAGAACACAAGCCATAACAATCTTCCAATCATCCATGTGTCCTGGTTCTCCCTCTGCAGTTTGAGCCTGGGATGCTGGAGGTATCTGAAACTCCTGGATAAGAATCCTAAATACATGTCAGATGCTGATGCAGACTGTTCAGGAAGGAGCAACTCAGTTTATGTGGGTCAGTACCATGGTCTAAGGCACTGCAGTGCAGTGCTAGCTGTGCCACTAGAGATCCTGGTTTGAATCCAGGCTCTGTTGTAGCCGGCCGTGACCGGGAGACCCATGGGGCGGCGCACAATTGGCCCAGCGTCGTCCAGGGTAGGGGAGGGAATGGCCGGCAGGGATGTAGCTCAGTTGGTAGAGCATGGTGTTTGCAACGCCAGGGTTGTGGGTTTGATTCCCACAGGGGGACAGTATTATAAAAATAATGTATGCACTCACTAACTGTAAGTCGCTCTGGATAAGAGCGTCTGCTAAATGACTAAAATGTAAATGTAAAATGTCATTGTGCTGCTAACAGCTTAGCTTCCTCCACTGTCTGACTGCCCCATACCCAGATGAATCTAGTAATGAATAATGTAGCTGTTGAGAAAGTAGAGGAGACTAAACTTCTTGGTGTTACCTTAGATTGTAAACCATCATGGTCAAGGCATATTGATTCTATTGTTGTAAAGATGGGGGAAGTCTGTCTGTGATAAAGAGCATTTTTAACAACACATTCAACCAAACAAGTCCTGCAGGCTGTGGTTTTATCACATCTTGACTATTGCCTGGTTATAGGGCCAGGAGCTGCAAAAATGGACCTAGGAAAGCTCCAGCTGGCCCAGAACAGAGCAGCACGTCTTGCCCTTCACTGTACACAGAGGGCTAAAGTCAACAGCATGCATGTCAGTCTTTCCTGGCTCAAAGTAGTGGAGAGATTGACTGCATCACCGCTTGTAAGAAACATAAATGTGATGAAAATTCCTAATTGTTTGTATAATCAACTTACATACATCTCTGACACACATACTTACCCCACCAGACATGCCACCAGGGGTCTCTTCAGTCCCCAAATACAGAACGCACTCAAGGCAACTCACAGTATTATATGGAGCGATGGTCACATGGAACTCACTTCCAACTCGGGTCACTCAGGGAAGCAGCAAAGTTAGCTTAAAAAAACAAGTGAGGCAACACCACACGGCACAACGCCTCTGACCTTGTACAACCTAAAAAGTTGTATGTACAGTATATGCTGTATATGAATATGTTGTATGTATATGCAGTACAGGACCTTGTTTAGTTGTATTGTTCTTATTTTACATTTGTGTGTCTGTTCTTGTCTATTAGTGTTATGTATTTTGTCATGTTTGATGTTTTTTGTGGACCCCAGGAAGAGTAGCTGCTGCTTCTGCAACAGCTAATGGGGACCCTAATAAAATACCAAATACTGGACTCGAACAAGTGATCCACTGCTTCGCAACACACCTGACCGCCCTATTTGACAATGCTCCAACGGGTTGAAACACCCAAAAGGAACCGATTGGATGGCTCCATCTGCAACATTTTAAGCTAGCTGTGGAGTGAGCTTACGGCACATTCTTAACTCCGTTACAACTGCATAACCACTGTCTATCAATGTAAGAAAGTAATGTTTCTTATTCTTTTGTCAGAGCAACAGTAAGGATGACAAAGGTGTGCTAGTGGGGAACTGGTCATGTGAATTTGATGATGGAGTGCGGCCCTCTCACTGGCCGGTCAGTGTTTCCATATTACACAATGGGCTGATAACCGCTGCCAAAAGGTTCGCTATGGCCAGTCTTGGGTGTTTGATGCAGCATCAGACAGGCACAGGTAAAAGCTTGGTCTAAAAACCTCAAACTTCTAAAATTATTCCATTGTTTATGGGATTTTTCTGAAGTTGAATTAAGGATAATGTATGCTATGTATTCTTACTGAAACTGCAACTAGAATACATAGTTTTCTGTTTATGAGAGAAGTTTCACTTAGCAACAAAGAGGCAATGGATTATTTATAGTGCATGACTTCAATGCAAACTGACTGTCAGGACTGTAATCTGCAACTACTTGTAAAATCTTCATTGCCTTTATGGGTCAAGTGATATGAAGGTGTTGATGTGTGATTTAGTGGCTTCGGAAAGTATTCACACCCCTTGACCTTTTCCACATTTTGTTGTGTTACAGTCTGAATTTAAAATGGATTCAATTGAGATTTTGTGTCATAAAAAATGAAAGCTGAAATGTCTTGAGTCAATAAGTATTCGACCCCTTTGTTATGGCAAGCCTAAATAAGTTCAGGAGTAAAAATGTGCTTAACAAGTCACAATAAGTTGCATGGACTCACTCTGTGTGCAATGATAGTGTTTAACATGATTTTTGAATGACTACCTAATCTCTGTACACCACACACAATTATGTGTAAGGTCCCTCATAATTTCAAACACAGATTCAACCACAAAGACCATTGAGGTTTTCCAATGCCTCGCAAGGAAGGAATACTATTGGAAGATTGGTAAAAATAAATAAAAAAGCAGACATTGAATATCCCTTTGAGCATGGTGAAGTTATTAATTACACTTTGGATGGTGTATCAATACAGTCACTACAAAGATAATAATAATATGCCATTTAGCAGACGCTTTTATCCAAAGCGACTAACAGTCATGTGTGCATACATTTTTACGTATGGGTGGTCCCGGGGATCGAACCCACTACCCTGGCGTTACAAGCACCATGCTATACCAATTGAACTACAGAGAACCACAGGTGTCCTTCCTAACTCAGTTGCTGGAAATGAAGGAAACCGCTCAGGGATTTCACTATGAGGCCAATGGTGACTTTAAAACAGTTAAAGTGAGGGAAAAAATATTTGATCCCCTGCTGATTTTGTACGTTTGCCCACTGAAAAAGACATGATCAGTCTATAATTTTAATGGTAGGTTTATTTGAACAGTGAGAGACAAAATAACAACAAAAATATCCAGAAAAACGCATGTCAAAAATGTTATGAATTGATTTGCATTTTAATGAGGGAAATAAGTATTTGACCCCTCTGCAAAACATGACTTAGTACTTGGTGGCAAAACCCTTGTTGGCAATCACAGAGGTCAGACGTTTCTTGTAGTTGGCCACCAGGTTTGCACACATCTCAGGAGGGATTTTGTTCCACTCCTCTTTGCAGATCTTCTCCAAGTCATTAAGGTTGCCGTTTGGCAACTCGAACCTTCAGCTCCCTCCACAGATTTTCTATGGGATTAAAGTCTGGAGACTGGCTAGGCCACTCCAGGACCTTAATATGCTTCTTATTGAGCCACTCCTTTGTTGCCTTGGCCGTGTGTTTTGGGTCATTGTCATGCTGGAATACCCATCCACGACCCATTTTCAATGCCCTGGCTGAGGGAAGGAGGTTCTCACCCAAGATTTGACGGTACATGGCCCCGTCCATCGTCCCTTTGCTGCAGTGAAGTTGTCCTGTCCCCTTAGCAGAAAAACACCCCCAAAGCATAATGTTTCCACCTCCATGTTTGACGGTGGGGATGATGTTCTTGGGGTCATAGGCAGCATTCCTCCTCCTCCAAACACGGCGAGTTGAGTTGATGCCAAAGAGCTCGATTTTGGTCTCATCTGACCACAACACTTTCACCCAGTTCTCCTCTGAATCATTCAGATGTTCATTGGCAAACTTCAGACAGCTCTGTATATGTGCTTTCTTGAGCAGGGGGACCTTGCGGGCGCTGCAGGATTTCAGTCCTTCACTGCGTAGTGTATTACCAATTGTTTTCTTGGTGACTATGGTCCCAGCTGCCTTGATCTCATTGACAAGATCCTACCGTGTAGTTCTGGGCTGATTCCTCACCGTTCTCATGATCATTGCAACTCCACGAGGGGATTGACAGGTCTTTTGTGTTTCTTCCATTTGCGAATAATCGCACCAACTGTTGTCACCTTCTCACCAAGCTGCTTGGCGATGGTCTTGTAGCCCATTCCAGCCTTGTGTAGGTCTACAATCTTGTCCCTGACATCCTTGGAGAGCTCTTTGGTCTTGGCCATGGTGGAGCGTTTGGAATCTGATTGATTGAGTGCTTCTGTGGACAGGTGTCTTTTATACAGGTAACAAGCTGAGATTAGGAGCACTCCCTTTAAGAGTACCACTCTTCATATTTTCAAGCATTGTGGTGGCTGCATAATGTTATGGGTATGCTTGTCATCGGTAAGGACTAGGAATAGAGCTAAGCACAGGCAAAATCCTAGAGGAAAACCTGATTCAGTCTGCTTTCCAACAGACACTGGGAGATGAATTCACCTTTCAGGGGGACAATAACCTAAAATACAAGGCCAAATATACACTGGAGTTGCTTACCAAGATGACATTGAATGTTCCAGAGTGGCCTTGTTACAGTTTTGACTTAAATCGGCTTGAAAATCTATGGCAATACTTGAAAATGGCTGTCTAGCAATAATCAACAACCAATTTGACAGAGCTTTAAGACATTTGAAAAGAATAATGGGCAAATATTGTACAATCCAGGTGTGCAAAGCGCTTAGAGACTTACCCATAAAGACTCACAGCTGTAATCGTTGCCAAAGGTGATTGTAACATGTATTGACTCAGGGGTGTGAATTAGATTTCTGTATTTCATTAAACAAATTTGCAAACATTTCTAAAAACATGTTTTTACTTCATCATTATGGGTTATTGTATGAGATTTTTTTATTCAGGCTGCAACAACAAAATATGGAATAAGTCAAGGGGTATGAATACTTTCTGAAGGCACTGTATATACACACCATTGCTTGCATCCCATTGCCTCAGCCAGCAATCCAACCCAGTCTTTCAGATCAATATTTTTGAATTTTGTCCAATTAGGTTACAAGGTTAAAGTGGGAGGTGGGATCAGGTCAGCACAGTATTGTCCAATGACGTTGTGGGGTCAGCCCAACATGCACACCACAGTTTAAAATTATCTTTGTGCACACACTACAGATGCTCGAGAAGTTAACAATGACATTATGTACACGTTATACACAATTTTCGGCGACCCCTTTGGCTCGTGAGCGCTACTTTCAAAACTACTGGCTGAAATTATACAAAACCTTTATAACACATCGTTAATAGAGTGAGTCATAATACCAATAAAACGTAGCGGTCAAACAGGGAAATGGTTCCAATCGTTTTTCCACCATTCATTTTTCCCATAGCGGATTTCAGAAACACTTAAAATAAGGGCTGTGATTTGTGTAGGCTTATATTTTGATAACCTTATATTTTGATAACCGTGTAAATCTCTCTTGGACAAGGTGACTTTTATCAATATGTTCGCCTGTACGTACTGCCAAATTCTCTAAAATGATATTGGAGGCAGCTTATGGTAGAGAAATAAACATTCAATTATCTGACTATATTTCTGGTGGACATTCCATTGTCATCATGCCAATTGCACACTCCCTCAAAACTTGAGACATCTGTGGCGTTGTGACAAAACTGCACATTTTAGTGTGGCCTTTTATTGCCTTCAGCACAAGGTGCACCTGGGTAATGATCATGCTGTTTAATCAGCTTCTTGATATGCCAAACCTGTCAGGTGGCTGGATTATCTTGGCAAATGAGAAATGCTCACTAACAGGGATGTAAACAAATGTGTGCACAAATTTGAGATAAATAAATTTTTTGTGCATATGGAACATTTCTGGGATAATTTATTTCAGCTCAGGAAACATGGGACCAACACTTTACATGTTGCGTTTATATTTTTGTTCAGTATACATATTTTGTGAATGCTGTGAAAGTCCATTGTCTTCATGGATGAGTGACGCCACCTGTCGGAAGACGCTGGTGAAAGTCGATATATTCTAAACGTTCACCCGAAAAAATTAACAGGTCCAGTGTATCAATGTCACATTAGTCAGAGTATAAACCAGTCAGCACAGCTCTTTTCCAAATGGTTCCATTTTATTTGTATCCATGGAATTATTTTATTAGTGAAAAACTACTGCTGTAGTAAAGCATTGGCAGAGAGAAATACATGCCATACAGGTCTACTATCTCTAGTAAAGCAACATTTCCGGGGGGCAGATGTCCCATTTCTATTCTGTAACATTGGGAAATCTCCCAGGGTCGTACCCATAATCCAAACTAGTGACAGAATGACCCATGTCACGTTCTGCTATTCGTCAAAAAAGTCAGAATAATGCTGAATAAGTGGTGGCCGGGCCCAGTCCTAAAAAGCCTGTTATTTTGACATTTGTACCAAGTGATACAATCGTCTGTGACAAAGGATGACATCAGCAGAGCTCAGCAAAGACACAATTTTACTGTGTTTAAGTGTTTCTTAGTAACCAAGTCAGTGAGTGTCTCAATCTGCCCCAAGTTTGCTCTAATAACTTCTATCAGCCACTTGTCTGAGGGCTAAACTATTTCACACTACTACATGGATGTAATGTTATTGACTGATGATTGGCCACTCAGTGCTATGTATGACAATGCTTGATGACAGACCTGAAGGTAAGGATATTGTTGTGTGTTGAGCTGGAATTATGGAGGATGGTAAATAATGACAACCAAAATGCAACCTATGTGGAAAAACAGGCCCCCTCCCGACATACACCCTAACAAAAATCACCTGAAATTTCATCAACATTAAAAAGCAACCAACTTAAAGCCATTAAAATAAATGTGATGCGTCTCTTCAAAGTTGTCACAACGATCTAGTGCAGGAGTGTCAAACTCATTCCATGGAGGGCCTAGTGTCTGCAGGTTTTAGTTTTTTCCTAAGACACAGAAACCAGGTGAGGGGAGTTCTTTACTAATTAGTGACCTTATTTCATCAATCAAGTACAAGGGAGGAGAGAAATCCCAGACACTCGGCCCTCTATGGAATGAGTTGGACACATGATCTAGTGTGTGTGCGAGCCACCATCTCACCATATGAGCACAAAAATGGGGATTGGCTAATGACCAACTTCTCTCTTCAACACGGAATCAGTTAGCTGGTGTTTGACTGGCGTTCAGAATAAAAACAAAAAGGAGATTTGTCCAAGCTGGTGGAACGGAATCTTCAACGACCATTGTCTCTCCCACCGGGAATGTCCCCAAGCTTCCACTGTCCCTCTCAGTCTCTCCCTAGGGTTCAGTAGCTAGTGAGCGGGTTCGACAGGGAGTGTGTGCCCTGGCGAGAGGCAGGGTGTGACAGGGAGCAGGAAGCTCAGTCGGTGGAGAACAGGTCTCCAGCAGAGGGTAGAGGGGCCAGGCCTCCCGTCACATTGGGCAGCAGAGAGAGGTCAGGCAGGCTCTGGATGTGAGACTTGAGCTCCTTGCGCACCTGGGTGACCCGTGCCAGCTTCTGTTTGTACTCCTGCAATACAAAGAACAGTACTCATGTCAGACGGTACAGTTTGGATGGGTTCACTTTCTACTTCTTTTAAACAATCCAAGTAACTCACAAAGCTGCTGTAATTCGATCATGGGAAAATATATTTTTTTCCCACATTATAATTGCTTGTTTGTAACAGACAAGCAAAACAATGATTTAGATGGTTTAGACTTGCTTCTAGTTTCTTCTCCCTCTCGGTGAGGGCTTCCTTCTGGCTACCGATGTACTCTGTCAGCATGCGCGCCAGCTGCCTCCTGTCCTCCAGCTCAGCAGCCAGACGTCCGTTATACTCAGCCAGCAGTAGACAGGCCTCGTCCACCGTCTTAGACAGTTTATCAGCTGCCTCCTTATCTATAGGGACAGGGTGAGTCCAGTCAAATAAGGTGGTATTTTGCCTTAAGCATAATATTGAAACAATTGAATACAAACAACGTTAAGTTTGAAAAAACACAATCCCTTGTAGTAGACTAGACTAGGCCTACAATACACATCGAGGTGGGAGAAAGGTGGGGTCAAGTTCCCTTGTGCTTCAGGTACCATGAAGGCTTCCTTACCAGTGATCTTCTCTAGCAGGGACACATCCTGCACCTCCTGTGGCAGAGAGGCAATCTTCTGGCGCACAGCAGCATCACCCGAGGCAGCATTCTCCAGGTCCTGCAGGGCTTTGACCAGCTCCTCCGTCTGAGGGGAGAGGGAGGGAAGGAGAGAAGGGTGTGTGAAAGCTCTGGGCAACAATCTCCAATTTTCAAGCTGGATAATTTTTCTAAACAACAATTCACAAATCAAGAGTCCATGGGACATCCTTTGTATCACTGACACCTAGTGGAGAGTTGGGAGATAATTTCAGCTGGTGTGAAAAGCTGTCACAAATTGCAGTGTAATAGACAAAGTACTGGTGAATGAGCTAAAGACTTATGGAGTTGTGTTGGTTCAGCCTACCAGCTGTGGCCCTGAGATGTCTGAATCCTGTGGGGACATGTTGCCCCTGTAGTCATCGTCTTCCTCTTCCTCCGGCTCTTGGATCATCTTCTGATAGGTCCGTTTAGGGGCCTTCTTCTCCTCTGCAAAAGATACCACAGATTTAGAAAGAAAACACCACTTTTTACAAAAACAACCAATTGGAAGTGTATGTTTCTTGGGAATTCTGACATCCAAAAAGCCTACATAGGAAACAAGCCATCACCAGTAACACATTTAGTAAAGCTGAACTGCTGCATCCGTGAAGACCTAGGGGACTCTGACTGTACCTGTGGGTTGGTGTTGGGGGCTGTTTGAGTCTTCGATGGCAAGCTTCAGCTGCTGGATGAACTCTGCCTTGTAGAGGCTGCGCTCCTGCCAGATAGTGAGCAGCCTGTCCATAGGCCTTCTGCAGCCATCATCTGCCTCTCTGAGGGAGGGAGAGAAAGAGACAGAGATTCATCATGAAATTCAACTCTTCCTAGCCAAGCAACTCAATAACTTATTTGATCCTCTTTGTTCTTGTTTTGTTATGCTGCTGTAGCAGACAGTAGCAGTGTAATCCATTTACCAATGTTTTGTTATGCTGCTGTAGCAGACAGTAGCAGTGTAATCCATTTACCAATGTTTTGTTATGCTGCTGTAGCAGACAGTAGCAGTGTAATCCATTTACCAATGTTTTGTTATGCTGCTGTAGCAGACAGTAGCAGTGTAATCCATTTACCAATGTTTTGTTATGCTGCTGTAGCAGACAGTAGCAGTGTAATCCATTTACCAATGTTTTGTTATGCTGCTGTAGCAGACAGTAGCAGTGTAATCCATTTACCAATGTTTTGTTATGCTGCTGTAGCAGACAGTAGCAGTGTAATCCATTTACCAATGTTTTGTTATGCTGCTGTAGCAGACAGTAGCAGTGTAATCCATTTACCAATGTTTTGTTATGCTGCTGTAGCAGACAGTAGCAGTGTAATCCATTTACCAATGTTTTGTTATGCTGCTGTAGCAGACAGTAGCAGTGTAATCCATTTACCAATGTTTTGTTATGCTGCTGTAGCAGACAGTAGCAGTGTAATCCATTTACCAATGTTTTGTTATGCTGCTGTAGCAGACAGTAGCAGTGTAATCCATTTACCAATGTTTTGTTATGCTGCTGTAGCAGACAGTAGCAGTGTAATCCATTTACCAATGTTTTGTTATGCTGCTGTAGCAGACAGTAGCAGTGTAATCCATTTACCAATGTTTTGTTATGCTGCTGTAGCAGACAGTAGCAGTGTAATCCATTTACCAATGTTTTGTTATGCTGCTGTAGCAGACAGTAGCAGTGTAATCCATTTACCAATGTTTTGTTATGCTGCTGTAGCAGACAGTAGCAGTGTAATCCATTTACCAATGTTTTGTTATGCTGCTGTAGCAGACAGTAGCAGTGTAATCCATTTACCAATGTTTTGTTATGCTGCTGTAGCAGACAGTAGCAGTGTAATCCATTTACCAATGTTTTGTTATGCTGCTGTAGCAGACAGTAGCAGTGTAATCCATTTACCAATGTTTTGTTATGCTGCTGTAGCAGACAGTAGCAGTGTAATCCATTTACCAATGTTTTGTTATGCTGCTGTAGCAGACAGTAGCAGTGTAATCCATTTACCAATGTTTTGTTATGCTGCTGTAGCAGACAGTAGCAGTGTAATCCATTTACCAATGTTTTGTTATGCTGCTGTAGCAGACAGTAGCAGTGTAATCCATTTACCAATGTTTTGTTATGCTGCTGTAGCAGACAGTAGCAGTGTAATCCATTTACCAATGTTTTGTTATGCTGCTGTAGCAGACAGTAGCAGTGTAATCCATTTACCAATGTTTTTGTTATGCTGCTGTAGCAGACAGTAGCAGTGTAATCCATTTACCAATGTTTTGTTATGCTGCTGTAGCAGACAGTAGCAGTGTAATCCATTTACCAATGTTTTGTTATGCTGCTGTAGCAGACAGTAGCAGTGTAATCCATTTACCAATGTTTTGTTATGCTGCTGTAGCAGACAGTAGCAGTGTAATCCATTTACCAATGTTTTGTTATGCTGCTGTAGCAGACAGTAGCAGTGTAATCCATTTACCAATGTTTTGTTATGCTGCTGTAGCAGACAGTAGCAGTGTAATCCATTTACCAATGTTTTGTTATGCTGCTGTAGCAGACAGTAGCAGTGTAATCCATTTACCAATGTTTTGTTATGCTGCTGTAGCAGACAGTAGCAGTGTAATCCATTTACCAATGTTTTGTTATGCTGCTGTAGCAGACAGTAGCAGTGTAATCCATTTACCAATGTTTTGTTATGCTGCTGTAGCAGACAGTAGCAGTGTAATCCATTTACCAATGTTTTGTTATGCTGCTGTAGCAGACAGTAGCAGTGTAATCCATTTACCAATGTTTTGTTATGCTGCTGTAGCAGACAGTAGCAGTGTAATCCATTTACCAATGTTTTGTTATGCTGCTGTAGCAGACAGTAGCAGTGTAATCCATTTACCAATGTTTTGTTATGCTGCTGTAGCAGACAGTAGCAGTGTAATCCATTTACCAATGTTTTGTTATGCTGCTGTAGCAGACAGTAGCAGTGTAATCCATTTACCAATGTTTTGTTATGCTGCTGTAGCAGACAGTAGCAGTGTAATCCATTTACCAATGTTTTGTTATGCTGCTGTAGCAGACAGTAGCAGTGTAATCCATTTACCAATGTTTTGAAGCACGTTCATGTCTAACCAGGGCCTAAAATTAACACCTGCCACATGCAGGTAGATTTTGGCATTGGCGGGTAAGATGTCTTTTTCACTAGCCACGTTGGCAGGTGGTCAGGGCTCCACAGTGCGAGCATTTCACTCGCATTTGTGAATAAAAAATAGTCAAGTGTGTTCACATTTATAGTAAAATAAATGCTGCAGTAGCTGTTTTCAAAGTATTTCTGCTGTTTTGTTTCATAGCTGGTAAAATTATCGCACAAAGTCAAAGAACTACAAATCCTATAGCCTATTCCACCTCACGCTGCAACACTGCCTGGCTGGGGGCTGTGCGCAAGTGAAGAGCCGAGTCAAAGATTCATTTTTAGAAGCGCTGCGCACAGGCATAAAAGTTGGTCTAATTTACTTTAAACGAAAGTCTACTGAAGTGAGACTTTGTCCTTCTTGGCTATTTACATTGTTTTGTTCAGAAGCTAGGTTGTTTTTCATTGTTTGAGTTTGAACTGCTAGGGAAGAGAAGACAACGTGGCTACTAGTCAGACTCAATATCACAGGCAAAAACATGACTGGAGTCGCATTACCACGGTAACATCCCGCCTTTAAAGGGGCAGGTGAAATGTTTTGTCTCATCTGTAATATTTTAGTTAAAAGACTTAAAAATAAACAATATACCACATTACTTCTTACTAGTAATACATTTGTTTTAGAAACATTACAAAGCATGCTCATCTGTTTTGTTGTGTTGGTGTAATTGTAGCGGCCAAAAAAATATTTTGGCTGGTAGATTTTTAAATCTACCTGCCACAGTGGCTGGCGAACAAAAAAGTTAATTTTAGGCCCTGGTCTAACTGATGTAGCTATGCTCGACGCAACGCGGAGTGCCTGGATACAGCCCTTAGCCATGGTATATTGGCAATATACCACAAACCCCCGACGTGCCTTATTGCTATTATAAACTGGTTACCAACGCAATTAGAGCAGTAAAAATAAATGTTTTGTCATACCTGTGGTATTGGATGAAAGCTGTGGTATATCAGACATTATAAACTGGTTGGTTCGAGCCCTGAATGCTGATTGACTGACAACTGTGGTATATCAGACCGTATACCACGGGTATGACAAAACATATACTTTTAGTGCTCCAATTACATTGGTAACCAGCTTATTATAGCAATAAGGCACTTCGGGGGTTTGTGGTATATGGCCGTGATATATAGGCCATATACCACACCCCCCCCGGGCCTTATTGCTTAAATATACCACTGGTATGACGCAAAATGACTTGTTTAGTGTTCTAATTATGTTTGTAACCAGTTTATAACAGCAATGAGGCACCTAAGGGGGTTGTGGTATATGGCCAATATACCACGGGTAAGGGCTGTATCCAGGCACTCCACATTGTGTCGTGCTTAAGAACAGTCCTTAGTTGTGGTATATATTGGCCCTAGCGTATATGATACCAGATTTTCCTTGGCAAAAAAGAAAATACACAAAAAAGTTTACGGTCCTTTAAAACCAACATTTGTAAAATATTGTGTTCTATACCTTGCAAAATAAACAAATGTGACTCTGGGTGACAACATAGGGCTGTTTTTTCCAACATTAGGACTGTTTTCCTCAAGACATTCAGTCTGCTTCAAGTTTTGGTTCCTCTGCTTCCTTACTTCCTAGTATCACGATACTGGTATCTTGACAACATGAATTGGCCATATACCATAAACCCCTGAGATGCCTTAATGCTATTATAAACTGGTAACCAACATAAATAAAACAGTAAACAAGTATTTTTGCATCATACCCGTGGTATAGTGTCTGATATACACATGGCTGAAATGCTGTTTCAGCTAATCAGCATACGGTACCCTAGCTCTCGAAAACTCTAGGCGACATTCTGCCATCTCCCTACAGTTTTCAGCCAATATCTTCGCCCACGACTAACTCATGTGAACTACAATCCCGACGTTGTGTTTTAACGTTTAGTAACGTCAATAATCATTGCTTGCGATACGGCTTTCTAAACATATGGTCCTCATCTTTCATCAGCGAGAAAGAATCCTTCAAATAAAAAAGTTACACTTACAGTAGCCGTTTTGCAGAGATCCATACAGCTATGGGTGCCTTCATCAAATGAAACTACACTTCCCAAGTTACTCTCACACACAGGTGTTCGGAGCATGCTAGATACCTAATTAGCACAGGTGCGCGCCTCTTGTCTTCCATAAACAAGCACTGTAACATGGAGATATGGCCATGTGGGAACACTAACTCTATCAAGGTGTGTATCAATATAACCTTTTGTTTTTAAAATGATTTCTTGCTGATATGAAAGTCCTTATGCTTCCAAAACCATACTGCAAGCGACGCGTGTTAATGTTCAGATTGAGGGTCGGGGCTCTTAACAAAACTTCCCAGTACAGAAGATGCCTTCGTCCAATGACTTATGTGTAATGTACTGAGAGTCATGATCAAGGGCTACCAGTACCCAAACTACCTAGTTTACAATAAACCATAGGCCTGCATCACAAACCTGAACATTTCAGTGCTAGAGAAGTTTAGCCCTGAAACTGTATCATACCAGACTACATACCTTGCAACATGAGAGCAAGCATCAACAAGGACCGTCTCAAAGTCTTTGGCGAACTCTGGACCTTTCTTCTTGCTGTTTTGAATCACGTCATTGGCAAGATACAGGAAAGTCAACTTCCTGCTGCTTTTTGCTGAAAGACAAATACACAATGTAGTCCAAGTAAATAACATGGTTTGGCATACTTCATGTGACATATCAACGTTTCAGTGTGTAACTAGCAGTTAGAGAATACTGTCGTGATGGCGACGTTCATAAGTTCTCTCACCTTTCTTCAGTTCTCTGTGCCATACTTTGACGATGAGCGGCGAGTGTTTGCGATGATGAATGATCCACAGAGACAGCGTCTGAACGCTCTGTTGAGAGTTGCTGAGCTCCGAAAGCTTCTTCTCCAACGCAGACTCAGAAAAAGAAGACATGATGTGCGCAGAAAGTACTCTCTGATGTACCGTTACCTCACCCCACAACTTTCTTGGAGGTTAACTGAGGAAACCAACAATGTCCTCAAAAGCAAAGTTCCCGCCAGTTAAACACGCAACCTGCTGCATGAAACTGTCTAGCTACTAGTAGCTAATAGTCTATGCTTATCTTCCCTAACAAGATAGTTACAAAACCGTGTAAAATATACATGCGCATTTACAATGATGAGTGTGCAAGCTTGTTTACCTAGCTAGACAACTATAGTAGCTATCTGTTTACAAATAGCCAACTAGAAAGTCCTAGGTAGCCTAGCAAGCTAGCTAACCTATCCACACTGGCTTTGTTTACTAGCTAGCTACTACGATACTAGATGTAAGTTACTCACCAATACATCTATTCATAATTTAGTAAATGTGCCGTTTGAATACATGTAGCTGTAACGTTACTTTCAAACGTACGTTTTTTTCGTTAGCTATAGTACTAGTATAGTAGCTAGCTAACTAACTAGCTTTCTAGAAACCACCACAGCTCTCTGGATCGCTTCAAAGATGGCCGCTTGACCTTTCACCCGACACACAGGATTCAAAGTCTGTTCAAAAACCTTTGCAGAGAAACTTGTGAAATTAGATCATGACTAGAAACATTACTCAAATACTGTCACGTATAGCTATATTTCACAACTTAAAATGACATGCAAAGTAGTTAGCTAGATCAACCGACGTCGGTCAAGACAAGTACAGTATCATCAGCAAAAATGTTGCATTAGCTAGCTAGCTTACGGTTAGTAAGTTAGTGCTGTACTCGCTTAGCTACCTGGGCAAAGTTAACTTTGACAATAGAACTGTTGCAATATCTTTCTTTTACAGTATCAAGTGCACCAAAGCTAGCTAACAAGCATGGGAAGCATAAACAACTGTATGCGTCGCAGAATAATGACGCACTACAGGGAAAAGTGATGCTTGTGTGACAGCTAGCTAGGACCCTCAGTGGCTAGGACAGCTAGCCTGTCTTCATTCAGTTTCAGTGCTGTATCTCGACATGAGTTCGTCTCAGATGTCCGTCACTAAATATATACTCGCAAAGGTAAACTTATTTGAATCTTACTTTGTTAGGTTGTTCTAGCTTTGTCATTTAAGCAATCCATTAGCTAGCTAAGGTAGCTAGATACTGTATATCTGGCTAGCTACCTAACTAGCTTTAACAAGGATGGTAACTAGCTTTAGCAAGGGTGGTCAGGCAAAGTTCTGATTTGGGTGACTAGCAACAGACCAAATTAGGCCTATCAAATGAACATTTGGGTAACTCAAAGATATACCTCTAAGCTATTATCCTGATAATCAAAATCAAGTTGCTAGAATGCATTGAGCATGCATACTGCTAAACTGCATCCAACTACTTCCCTAAACAGTATATGGTAGCTATGATTCTATTATCTTAATTCTCTGTTTCAGTGAGTGACATCGGTCTTCAAAGAATGGACCATAAGATTGATGACCCAAAGCTTGCTTTTGCTTACCTCCGTCCAGCCTGTGTGCTTCTGACTCGTGAGCCCACGGTGGGCAATGTGGAAACCCTGAGCACACACAGCTGAGGCATGTAAACGATGGAACCCTGCAGCAAGTGCAGGACTATGTCCTTTTCCCTCTTCGCCCTCAAAATCCCTGGCCCCAAGCGGGGGATGGCTTGGTCCAGGCTGTGGCCGAGGCCATGGGCTACGTTCTGGAGAACACCTGTGTACGGAGCTGGGAGACGCTGAGGGATCTCCTTTCTGAGCTCTGCTTCTGCTCTCCCACGGACCCAGGGAAGCCAGCACCCGCCCCAGAAGAGCTGAAAGCTGCAGTACTGAGATGCCTGGATGCTCTGCTGCATGCAGCCTACGGTGGCGTGGTCTTCAAGCTGTTTGAGCCCACCATGCTGCCTGGCCTTGGGGCTGCTATCTCCCTGCTGCTTGCCCTGGGAGAGCAGGAGAAGTCCCGCACTGTGCAGTCGGCTACACTGAAATGCATGCAGGCCCTGACCCTCCAGTGTGACTGTTCTCTGGACCTTGTGTCAGTGGGTCAGGAAGAGAGGTGTCACCTAGGCAACACCGTGGCTTCTTTCTTACCTGGGTTCACCATCGCTGTGAGCCGTGTGATCACTGGGGATATTAGGCATGGACATGCTGTTACTGTTAGGGCAATAAAGGTGTGGTTCAAGACCGTGGGACTGGTGATGGCTGACGACCAGCTACAGAACACCAGGGCTGGGGAGAGACAGCCTGGGAGCTGGGGAGATTAGGGGAGCTAGTAGTGCAGAGGACTCAGGACTGGGTGAGAAACACCTCTGGGAGGCTGGCCTTACTGTTAAAAAATATCATCTCCTGCACCTCAGCTCATCAGAACCTCTCAGACCACCTCCTGGCCAACTGTAACTCCTCCCTGAGTAAGTGTGTGGGCCCCCTCCTAAAGGCTCTGGTGGGGTCTGTGCATAACGAGGAGCCCACTGTGAGGGAGAGGTGTGAAGCTGCCCTGAGGGAGATGTCAGAGAGGAGTCAAAACTCAGATATTAACAACCAGGCCTTTACTGCCATATTGTCAGAGAACCTCCACTCCCTGGCCACCTCCCTGCCGCGCCTCATAAGGACGTCTGACAACCAGCGTAAGGTGTTTGGACCCTGATGCAGGTGTTGGAGTTGGACGTGATGGATGTCCGCATCGTGGAGAAGAGGAACTCCGCTCAGAGGAAACACTTCCTCTACTTCACAGACGAGAGGATCTTCTCCATTCTCAAGGAGATATGCAGGATGTTAGGTTACTATGGAAATGTGTATCTCCTAGTGGATCACTTTATGGATCTGTACAAGGAGTCGTCGGTCTACAGGAAGCAGGCTGCCATGGTGTTGAATGAGATGGTCACAGGGGCAGCGGGCATCAGGGGTGGCAGGGGGTACAGAGAGGCAGGGTGTGCCCAGTCAGGAGTACCTGAAAGCAGCAGTGGAGTCAATCATAGAGGAGTACATCAGCCTGAGCCACTGGCACCTGTCAACCCTTATTAGTGAGGGGCACAGGAGCAGCTAAATCAGTCTAGTCTCCATATCTAATGGGGTTGAAGGGAAAGGGAATCCCCTCCAGTTGGTCCAAGCAGTCCACAAGAGCTCCACAATCCATGAGGTGAACAGCAACATCTGGCAGATCTGCATCCTGTTGGAGGGGATAGGCTGCTTCGCCCAGGCCTTGGAGATGGACTTCCGTCTCATTCTGATGACATTACTATACCCGGTTCTGGAGAAGGCCGGGCATGAGACCCTGTTGATCAGCCAGGCAGCACTGGATGCCATGTGGGACATCAGCCAGGCCTGTGGCTACGCGTCCATAAAGGAGCTGATCAATGAGAACTCTGACTACCTGCTAAACGATGTGTCTCTGAACCTCCAGAGGTTGGGCGTCCGCCCCCAGGGTCCTCACCGTCATGTTCAGCCACTCAAACCCGAGCCTGCTGCCTCTGGTTGGGGACATCGTCCAGGACGTCATGCTGGCTCTGGACATAAGTTTCGACGAGACGTTCTGCACTGTGCTGCACTGACTTATGAAGGCTCTAGGTAAAGTTTCCACATCCACTTAAATGTTTTCCCTAGGTTATAACATTGCTATCACCACGTTATGGCATTCTTTTAAATAGGAGAACTCAGAGGAAATTGAAATACAGGACACCAAATGACAACCTTTAGCTATAACACAGCCTAAGTAACACGATCTTAATCATGTTTCTTTTTCTACCACAGCGAGATGGTTCCCCTATTGTGTTGGGGGAACCAGTGAGAATAAAGGAACCAAGAAGGCATGGCGTGAGCAGGACCAGCTGAATGTGTGCCAGTTTCTCCAGGACTACCACAAAGAAAGAGCTGGCAGAGGGCATTGGGGCAGAGGAGGAGGAGTGCACAGAGCACCCAGGTTAGTTAGGGGGCTCGCTTTCTGGCTGCCACACTATTCCCCTGGGAGATCATTTCTCACACTGATGCACAACATTAACGCAATACTTGGTGAAGCTTCTTAGTACTACTGTGCCATGAATAAATTTCACTCATGCTGTTTTCCTCACAGCTGGGTCCCTAGTCATTGCACTGCTTTTTAGGCATCGGCAGATTTTGTGTGGTGTGCTGCTCACAGTTCAAGTCATGTTTCACAAATGTATTGAAAGCTGTTCTGCAGAAATCAGAATCCATCAGTGTTATGACTCGCTACGTTCCTTGCACTGCATTGAAGTGTTCTGTGGTTGTTATTTCAGAGATCCCACCTCCGATGGATTTTGAAGAAGACATGGAGGGTCCTGATGTGAAAGCTGAACTCCCAGCCCACCTCACCATAGCCAAAGATGTCATGGAACGCTGCATTCACCTGCTCTCCGACCTCAGACTCAAGGTACAGCTGTAGATTGTTTAGAACTCAAACATACAACTGGTTTTGCCGCCACATGTTGTTGTGTGTTTAGTGACACCAGAGCAGTTGGTCCCCCTGTCCCAGGCTGTGTAGATCTGACCCTGTGTGTGTTTGGTGTGTATTGCAGGTGCTGGATGTACTGGAGCTATGTGTCTGTGTACTGAGTGAGAAGGAGAATGAGCTGCTACCCATGGCTCACCGCTGCTGGCCTGCCCTCCTGCTCCGACTCACTGCTGATTGTCCTCCGATCCTTCAGGGTATCTATCTCACTACTTCCACCACTCTGACAATTAGTACACTACTATTTAACTCAGTTGAATAATTATAATTTCATAATTGTTTATATAATAAATAATTGATGACATCAATTTGAAAAAGTACACATAGGAATTAATTTATTTAATTAACGATTAGACTTTATGCTGTCATGAATGTATACATGATTCATCTAGAACAATTCTTTTTTATGTATTATGATGTATGTCTGTGTTTGCTCTCTAGGTACTGTGCACACTGGGGGAAACCTGCTGAGATTTCCTGAGGAAGAGGGTGTCCAAACTGACTGCCTCTCTGTCCAAACAGGCTCCAGTGAGTGCCAGGGCCGGCCCAGTTTACAGCCACGCCCTGGCCTACAAGCTGCAGCTGGCTGTGCTGCAGGGCCTGGGGGCTCTCTGCCTCCGCCTGGACCTAGGTAGGCCACCAACACCCTCGCACTTCTTTATTCTGGGTCACACTCGGCTCTGTTTTCATCATTTTATTGGGAATGTTAAAACTATATAGCTTTTTGGCCACTAGGTGTCAATCTTGCACTGTTTTGGAATTACAAAGTGTGTATCCTATAGACTGCATTGAATGGTGTATGTAAATGTCCCCAACCAAGCTCCCAGGGGAAAAATACATTGCTGCTGCATTAGTCAAGGGAGATGGAGACACACACAAGTCAGAGCCAACATGACACCCACTGGTTTTCAACAGTAGATCTGTTTGGATACACTTCAACTAGCTGAGTCGATTCATGGTCTTCCTTGGTGCTTGAAGATGCTGCCTCCTTCCCCATCAGCCCCAGAGGAATACAGCTGAGTAGGCTGAAGTTGACACACTGAGAGACCGAGGCTGCAGCAGCAGAAGCAGTACTAGAACACACTGGTAAACATCGGCTCCACCTCCAGAAAGGCAATTACTAGCCAGGCCACAGAGAAAGATAAATTCTTCCAATGTGATACGCTTTTAGCTTTATTTACCCTATAGAGAAACACCTGGGCTGGCCTCTCCCTCAGTATTTCGCTGTGTGTTTCCCGCTTGTTTCCACACAAGAGAAGGGATAGGTATACAGGATAAAATGAGTGCTGAAATAATCCCATTTATCTTTTGAAATATGCACAATGAGCAGGCTTGTTTTTCAGCTGTGTGGGTTGAATTGCCAAATAATCAAAGCGTCGCTACTGACCTCAAGTGAGACGCGTAAAGGCATATTTTGAAATGATGTTTGAATGGTGGCCCAGTTAGGAGCTTAGGGAATATGTGTCTGGGGGGGGGGGGGGGGGGGGGGGGGGGGTGGTACTACAAAGTGATGAAGTTGCCATGACTATGAAAGGTACTGAGAGTGGGGAGTGGATGTGTGAAAACCAGAGATGGAGACAGGCTGCTGTGAAATTCCCAGGCCATTTCAGCAGTTTTCTCCTCCAAACAATCTCTCCATTACTTTTTTCCCCCCATTTTTTTTCTTCTTTCCCTCAGTTTTACTTCTGGTATATGTGGGGTATCTGTGTTGTATTTTTCAGGGGACTCAGACCTGGATGCTGTAACTGAAGCCTGCCTGCCCTACCACCCAAACTGCAAGAGGCCTGTCTCAGGTATATTTGTAAAGCAATAATACAGCTAGAAGTACAATATATTAAAAGGCCTTGACATACACTATATATACAAAAGTATGTGGACACCCCTTCAAATTTGTGGATGTGGTTATTTCAGCCACACCCGTTGCTGACAGCTGTATAAAATCGAGCACAGTCATGCAATCTCCATAGACAAACATTGGCAGTAGAATGGCCTTAATGAAGAGCTAAGTGACTTTCAACGTGGCACTGTCATAGGATGCCACCTTTCCAACAAGTTAGTTAGTCAAATTTCTGCCCTGCTAGAGCTGCCCCGATCAACTGTAAGTGCTGTTATTGTGAAGTGGAAATGTCTAGGAGCCACAACAGCTTAGCCACGAAGTAGTAGGCTACACAAGCTCACAGAACGGGACCGCCGAGTGCTGAAGCGCGTAGAGCGTAAAATTTTGGAATGAGGTGTTCGACAAACGGGTGTCCACATACTTTTGGTCATGTAGTGTATTTTAACACATCATACATTGTGGTTAAGCATGTGTAATTTATGACCTTTATCTATCAGCTTTCTATTATAATTTTATTAAGTTACATTTATCAATGTGCTATCGCTATTCTGTGCAGTGTCTTCCGGCACCTGATTGAGGTGGACCCTGATGCCTTCTGGTTGACTCTGAATGAGCTGTACTGTCCGTCCCTGCTCCTACACCCCACCCCACCCTGACCTGCAGCCTGTGGAGCTGAGTGGGTAGGGCCTTCACAGGCAACGTCCTGAAACACTTGGAGGACATTGGCTTACCTCTGGACACACAGCCAGCAGGGATCCAGATCCTGTGATCTGCACTGATGAACAGTACCCCATTCATCCACCCGACTGTCCCCAGGCAGAGGAAGGAACACTACACTGACGACGGCCACTGGAGAGCACAGCATGTCCTAGTCTTCCCCTGCCTCTTTTCAGGGACTGTGCCTTGCAGACATCATCCTATTGTTTAACAGTGACTTTGAAACACCAAAATGTTAAGATGATTCTGTGCAAGTGTTGGGTAAGGGTGTACATATTCCAATGTGCTCCCAAGGGATGGACTAAAGGCCAGTATTTTGAATGGTAAAGTAGTAATAATAGTCCTCTTTTTATTGTTTTTTATTATAAAAGATTTTTAAAAAATATCTGACCTTCGTTGCAACTGCTTAGCCTTTCATACAAGTAGATGTAGCAATCGATGTCATAGTTGACCTTCTCCACTGTAAATGGAATGGCAGAGCTTTCATCTTGCCTTCCATTCCAGCTTCAAATTCACATCTTGGTTCCCTTCCTCCTTTAATAACCAGACGTCATGGTCATTCCACACAAACCTCCCAGTGATTCACACAGAACAGATCTGCTACTTGCTGCACAAATGCCTGATTGAAAGTTGTAGCATGATTTTGAATACAAGTTGAACTCCCCTGAGGGTTGAAGTGTTGGTTACAGCCCTGGCTTGTTTGTCAGGTCTTGTTAAGACTGAGGGGTCTGGAATAATCTCTGACATCATAATGAATGTGCGTGCCGGGGAAATGGGAACAGGGTTGCCACATGTGTTTTGCGTTGGTGAGAGAGCGCTTTATCTCTGCCATACTTAGCTATTTATCCAACTGCCAACGCTGACAATAGCTTCATTACTCATCAGCCATGGAGGCCCTGCCTGGCAGCCCATAAAAACACAGCCAGGGATAGGATAATGCGATTTCCACCAAAACCAGGCTTGATAATGACATGCAGCAAGGCTTTTTATTCTGTTAATCATCAAATCATCTGACACAAGCATGGCTGACTAATTAGGCAGGCACTGCTTGGCACACCAATAGATAGATAATACAGTTCAGAGAAAAATACAGATTGTGTTGATTGCTGCTCAGGTTGCATGGGCGTGAGGAAGGAGACTGGTGAGAGAAAATGTATGACTGCTTATGAGTTAGCAGTGATGGAGTATTCTGGATTTTAATAATATGTTTTTACAATGGCAGCATACAGATCAGTGTGTGTTCGCATATACATTACAGTAAGGTCAGATGTTGACTTTTCATGATGAATGTAATACAAACATATTTTCGATCTATCATCAACGTCTCAAGGGCTTACATATTACAGGTACTAAATTATGAAAATATTCTGAAGGCAGATCACATTCAAGTCACAAATAGGTAAATAGGTTCATATACAATGTATTTAATTTGATAAAGGCATACATTTAGTGCGAGACCAACATCCTAGAAGAAATTCTAAAATGTACATCATTTTTACAATGATCTTTTACAAAACATCAAAGTAAAGTTTAGAGCAAGAAACAATCCCATTATCCATCAGGTCTTTCTCACAGCCACATTGTCTGTTGGGAAAGCACAAAACACCATAAACAGGTTTTACTTTATAAACATTGGTTTAGCTCTGGTTGGATGGAAATCATACTTCCATAGACAGAACAACTTTAGTGACCCACTGATATTTCCCCATAGAACCTCCCTCTGGACTTATCACGGAGACACAGCGAATGAACTGCTCAGAAAACAAACCCAAATGAATAAAGCAACAAGTAACGCTTCCAGCTTATACGTCCTCTTAGATGATTGAAAACGATTGTAAGAAAACATGTTGAACATGCACTTTTTATCATTATATACAGTAACATGTACAGTGTGGACAATCTAGAGCAGGGATGGGCAACTGGCAGATCGAACCCAAAACAATTTATTTATTTTTAGGAACTCATTCGGGGGCTCAATTGACTGTTGAGAGTTAGAATAGTAGAATACACAAGGTGCAATTTCGAAATTTGGTTGTGCATCAGCAGTTTTTATCTTATGTCAGTCATTGAAAGTCACTCAATTAACTAAACTAAACAGCAATCTAAACTTGTAGTAATCATGGTCCCCCATCGATTGTTTAAAGTCACTCACTCAGATATCATATTAACGAGGCATAAGTCAGGTCAAAATGAGTATAATTGCAGGTAATGTGTTATAAAATGGCTAAGTCTTCTCTACGCCCCATGGCAAAATGTGTACAATTGCAGGAAATTAACTTTAAAACAAACAAAAAATTATCTCCATTGTCAATAGGGGGGACGCTAAAATGTTTTGCTCGCAAGGTGGGGGGCCACCCAACAAAATTTTGCTTAGGGCGAAAACGCTAGGGCCGGCTCTGACTGCACATGTACAAGTGAGGGAAAAAAGTATTTGATCCCCTGCTGATTTTGTACATTTGCCCACTGACAAAGAAATGATCAGTCTATAATTTTAATGGTAGGTTTATTTGAACAGTGAGAGACAGAATAACAACAAAAAAATCCAGAAAAACGCATGTCAAAAATGTTATAAATTGATTTGCATTTTAATGAGGGAAATAAGTATTTGACCCCCTCTCAATCAGAAAGATTTCTGGCTCGCAGGTGTCTTTTATACAGGTAACGAGCTGAGATTAGGAGCACACTCTTAAAGGGAGTGCTCCTAATCTCAGTTTGTTACCTGTATAAAAGACATCTGTACACAGAAGCACTCAATCAATCAGATTCCAAACTCTCCACCATGGCCAAGACCAAAGACCTCTCCAAGGATGTCAGGGACAAGATTGTATACCTACACAAGGCTGGAATGGGCTACAAGACCATCGCCAAGCAGCTTCGTGAGAAGGTGACAACAGTTGGTGCGATTATTCGCAAATGGAAGAAACACAAAATAACTGTCAATCTCCCTCGGCCTAGGGCTCCATGCAAGATCTCACCTCGTGGAGTTGCAATGATCATGAGAACGGTGAGGAATCAGCCCAGAACTACACGGGAGGATCTTGTCAATGATCGCAAGGCAGCTGGGACCATAGTCACCAAGAACACAATTGGTAACACACTACGCCGCGAAGGACTGAAATCCTGCAGCGCCCGCAAGGTCCCCCTGCTCAAGAAAGCACATATATAGGCCCGTCTGAAGTTTGCCAATGAACATCTGAATGATTCAGAGGAGAACTGGGTGAAAGTGTTGTGGTCAGGTGAGACCAAAATCGAGCTCTTTGGCATCAACTCAACTCGCCGTGTTTGGAGGAGGAGGAATGCTGCCTATGACCCCAAGAACACCACCCCCACTGTCAAACATGGAGGTGGAAACATTATGCTTTGGGGGTGTTTTTCTGCTAAGGGGACAGGACAACTTCACTGCATCAAAGGGACGATGGACGGCGCCATGTACCGTCAAATCTTGGGTAAGAACCTCCTTCCCTCAGCCAGGGCATTGGAAATGGGTCGTGGATGGGTATTCCAGCATGACAATGACCCAAAACACATGGCCAAGGCAACAAAGGAGTGGCTCAAGAAGAAGCACATTAAGGTCCTGGAGTGGCCTAGCCAGTCTCCAGACCTTAATCCCATAGAAAATCTGTGGAGGGAGCTGAAGGTTCGAGTTGCCAAACGTCAGCCTCGAAACCTTAATGACTTGGAGAAGATCTGCAAAGAGGAGTGGGACAAAATCCCTCCTGAGATGTGTGCAAACCTGGTGGCCAACTACAAGAAATGTCTGACCTCTGTGATTAAAAAGCAATACATTTTTGACATGCGTTTTTCTGGATTTTGTTGTTGTTATTCTGTCTCTCACTGTTCAAATAAACCTACCATTAAAATGATAGACTGATCATGTCTTTGTCAGTGGGCAAACGTACAAAATCAGCAGGGGATCAAATACTTTTTTCCCTCACTGTAGGTATGGATGTGGGTGCACAGACCCGTGAGCCACTGTGGCCCCTCATGATGAGTTCAGATTTTTTGGGGCCCCCATCCCCATCAATGTTGCCCATCCCTGATCTAGAGGGTTGTGGTAAAGAGAAGGGGTGGGAGAGGGTTTGGCCTGGGAGAGGACTTGGGATGTTTTTGATGGGACAGTGTGAGGGCAGAGGGCAGAGATATAGGACTGAGGTGGCACTGAGATATAGTCCCTTTGGTGTCTGGAGCAGGGGTAGGGGTGGGTGAGCAATCAACTGGGATGGATCAGAGGTCTGCGTACACTGCGCTGCGGCCCTCCGGGACTGGAACTACCCACCTGGGGTGTGGGGCTGAGGCCAGACCGAAAAAGGCAGAGGAGGCTATGGGTGAGCTGTGAGGTGTAGAGGACAGCTGTCAGTGCAGTCAGTAGCGCTGTCAGCCTCAGCAGACCTCTTCCTCAGCTCCCTGCCAGTGCCTGTTGGTTTGTGGTTGCTGTGGTGGGCTGCTGGCGAGTGCTTGCCATGCTCCGGCTGGTGCCCGCTGCTCGCCAGGCCCTTGGTGTCCTGGGGTTGGAAGTTGTCCCCATGGTGGCGCAGCTTTGGGTTCTGGTTTCTGTCTGACTCCACCTGCAGGTAGGCCCTCACCTTGTGGTGGCGGGCGTAGCTGTCAGTGTCGCTGAAGTCGATCACGCGGCACTCGTACGTGCCCTCATCAGACGGCTTCACGCAAGACAGACGCAGCTTGTGGGAGATGTTGCTCCCGGCAACCTTCACCACCTGCAAAACATTCCAACAAAATGATGTTTCATTGGTCAACATCCAAGAGTTAAATTATACATTTTGGTCCATGACTGTATACCCTATCTATCAGATCCTTACAAACAAAAACTATAAATCATCCCATCATGATATCTCAACCCTAATTTCTCCTTCAGATCTGAAAATGCTCAGTGTCTGTATTTGTTGTTACTCAATTTGCTCAAAAAACAATAACTTCCTTGTGCACCCCCCCCTTCTCTGTCCCACCATCCGTGGGTGTGGGTGAGCCAGGCTGGCAGCCGTCTCTGTAATGAGATGCTGGCTGCGTCACCACAGTGCAACACTTACAGAGCAGCTGCCCCTCCTCCCCAACCCCTGTATGCTGGCAGCCCCACCGAGCCCAGTCAGGAGTCCTGCCACCGGGCCCCCGCGGTCAATAAAGCTGTCTGGCAACCAAACAGATTGCGTGGGCATGTGAGGAGGCACACACACACACCACATGTACACACACACTCAGTACAATGTCCTATCACATAGGCGCCAGTCCCTTTGTTTCCATGTTGCAGAGAGCTGTTCCATTTGCTCACTTGAACAAATGAGGAGATGCTGTGCCCCTGCATGCATGCTGTACATACAGAACATGCCTTTACTGGGTAAGGATGTAATAGTTCAGTGGCTTATAAAATGCTGTGAAAAATATATCTTAGATCTTAGATAACACAAAGTGATCACATGCTGTGGGAATGTCATTGGTTGTGACGCATCAGGATATAAATCCAGTTGTCTTTATTAGCTTCCTCCCACACAGGTAGTGCACCCAAGGCTAATGAGTTGTCTGTAGCTGTCTATCTCTATTATCAGCCCAGAGTCCTCTAAGCTTATAGAGAAAATCACACAATCACATTCAACCTTTAGACCAATAATACAGACCAAAATACTATTTTAGGACTATAGTTAGTAGGCCTGCATGGTTTAGTATAATCTCATAACATCAATAGAACATGAAGATAGTTAAACTCTGAGGCCATATACAAGGTGCCAGAAAGCTGATTGGTGTTTTCAGTCTGGTTGATGCCATTAGCTATACTTGTGGGGAAACAAGAAAGGCTGGTATGCATCCATGTGTGCTGAAACCGATGTCTCTGGGCTGGAATCCACGGCACCGTTTTACCGGCTGAGCGATGGCCCAGTGGCATCCTCCTCCACACCACAGCTGGTGGTTTCATTATGGTTAGTCAGCAGCAGCTAGCTAGTCAATGGGGAAATGAACCAGGGAGGAAACATCAGATCAGAGATAGGCTTCATCTTTTCCTGGAGACGAGGGAGTAGAGGGAGAACCTGGTTTATACTCCTTCACCCACAGCAAGCTGAATAGCCGCTGTGCGAGCATAGAACTAGCTGTTAACAAATCATTTTCCTCAGTTAGCCTGGTGGCAACAACAAACTACGCCGTGCCAGATGAGCTATCAAAAGCACTGTTGACTCCCTGATCATTCTTCAGCAGGGAGCACAGTCTCGTTTTTTTTATTAAGACAGCAGATCGTACTTGTAAAGACAGCAGTTGTAAAGTTAGGCGCATTCATGCTTTACTGAGAGAAGAAAAGAAGACCTTGCACCATCTTACTGCACTGCAACCTCATTCTTTTTATAGATCTGAAACACACAACTGTAGCAGAAGCAAGTGTACTGACATTCAGCTTCCACAGCTTCCAAGAAATGGCAATATCTATTGCATATGTTTTTTTATTTTGTTTTATTTATTTATTTTGTTTTTTTTAGGGGGTAGATCAGCTTTAATATTGCAGATAGATTGTGGCTTCCATCAATGTAATTGTTTGCATCATTTCCAATATATATATATATATATATATATATATATATATATATATATATACACACATTTTCCCCGAACCCTACCACTTATTGCATAGGTTTGGTAATGAGGCCTCTATTGGACACTAAATTACCAACAAGACAAATACAAAAGTGTAAAAGATGCCAGACAGGCAGGAGATATAACATATAATGCAGTAAAGACTCACACTTATTTTGGTAGCATCCTTTGACATCTCATCCTGGGGTACAACCTGTAATAAAAATATTTCAAAGAATGAGAAACATTAGACATACTTTTATTTTTATAAAATGTTCCCCATTGCGTAAAAATGCCTTACATCAATGATGAGTCCACTTCCAGGGAATTTGATCAGAGCAGAACATAGGTAATGGGCCTAGTAATGCCTACTTTACAGGTAATTGCATCAAAGAGGTACAGCTGGACTCAAAATTACATAAACCCAGTGTTCCTCTGTGCATAGTCTGCATACGGTAAGTGGAGAATCACCACTCTATTCAGAGGAATAGATCTAGAGGTGAAACCTGTGTTTCCCCCCAAGGTACCCATCTCTACATTCTTAGTATAACACACATTTGTAATATGAATTTGAAACCAAAAATAGTATGCAATACATTTCAACCTGAGAGGAACCAATATATTATCCTGTAGGCATGGTTCATCCAGGAAAAGAGTGTAGGCCTGACTACATTACAACACAGCCTGTACAGTATTCTAGGCCAGTAGCACCACCTGGCCCACGCTCCAGCAAGGGAGGCATGGTGTCCTCCAGGGGTACACAGCCAGTCCTCCAGGGGTACTTCATGAATAATAACTCTGAGTGAGGTGAGAGGAAGTTTCTTTACATTTCTCCATTTTCCAATTAAAAAGCGTCGAAAGACAGCAGGAGGCCTGGAAAACTTTCCATCCTTATTGAAAACCTGCTCTGCATTGCCCAGCTCAGGTAGTCCTCCTGATAAAATATTTCAAATCAAATCAATTTTTTTTGGCCACATGCGCCGAATACAACAGGTGTAGACATTACAGTGAAATGCTTACTTACAGCCCTTAACCAACAGTGCATTTATTTTTAATAAAAAAGTCAAATAAAACAACAAAAAAGTGTTGAGAAAAAAATAACAGAAGTAAAATAAAATAACAGTAGGGAGGCTATATATACAGGGGGGTACCGGTGCAGAGTCAATGTGCGGGAGCACCGGCTAGTTGAGGTAGTTGAAGTAATATGTACATGTGGGTAGAGATAAAGTGACTATGCTCAGTCCTCTTTTTTTTCCTGTAGTCCACAATCATCTCCTTTGTCTTGGTCACGTTGAGGGAGAGGTTGTTATCCTGGCACCACACGGCCAGGTCTCTGACCTCCTCCCTATAGGCTGTCTCATCGTTGTCGGTGATCAGGCCTACCACTGTTGTGTTCCTCAGCCTCCTCTTCTGTTCCTGTGCCTCCGGGGCACCTGGGGAACCTGCTGCTATTTATGCCTACTGCAGTGACTCATGTGTGGTTTGTTACCTGCTGCTCACCTCACTCAGTTTAGCCCTGTGTACTATATTAGTTGGTCCTAATTCTGACCTGTATACTGTAGCTGTGCCTCGATGGCAAACTCTAAAGATTGGGACTGAGGAAAGGAGTTTGTGTGCATAGCCTACAGTACTTACTGTATGCTAATGCTTTGCTATTTACATTGCTTTTTGCAATGAGGGTGAATAGGAAGACTCTGTTCCCCACCTATCCATCCTCTGCCTCATCCCTGTGATCACTGATCACAGAACACCTCCTCAGCAATATTCTATCAGCAGTGACAGAGAGCGAGCAGTCTAGCTACCTGATTGGTGGCCCAGGGCTGTTTCTCTGTCCAGTCTCTGTGGTTCCTGATGTACCACCACTGGATCTCCAGGGAGTAGGAGGGGCCTGCCCCCCGGAAAGAGCACGCCATCTCCACGTCCTGACCACTCTGTGCTGTGATGTCATGGGGGACCTCTGTGAACACAGCTGTATGGAGAAAAAAGCAAAGTTAACAGTTGGCTATGAAAAAGATAACCCAGTCCTCTCTGAAGACAATATGAGTGGTGTTTGCACTTACTGCAGTTCATTTACAGTGATGATAATACACTGTGATTGTAAATAGTCTCTAATAGAATGTTGAGTTAACCCTAGTAACAGTGTGCATAAAGAAATTGTATTTCCGTGCTATAGGCCTTCTGCAAATACAACACTCTTTTAGGAACACAATCCAAAAATACTTGTATTTCTAAGCAACTATGAGGAATATAATCAAAATCCTCATTAACTAGTTAAAACATTTCCATTTTGATTAATCTCATTGTGCTCACCTGGCTTGCTATTTAGTTAACGTAATTATTCAATGTTTATAATAAAAAGTGTTGTTGTTAATATTACCACGCTGCCTCTATACTAAAGAAGGCATTACTGCCAAAACAGCTCCCCTGTTGCTGTTAAAGAAGCAAAACTAATGTTTTTGTTTTTCAGTAAAAAAATATATCCTGAAGCTTTGAACTACAACAGAGAGCTTTGGTAGATTTTCAAAAGTAGTTCTGATGAGCAATGTCACAACTGATTAGTGCAGCCTTGCTGAAGGGCTGGCAAACTAAAGAGGATTGGGTGTATCGCTCTCCAGCTTAAAACCACACTCAATCGGTGATGGAGGACTAGTGCTTACTAAACCAACGCTCAGAAAATAGTTGTGAATGTGTTCACAAACACACAGTGTAAATATGCAGTGCAATAATAATACAGTTTACCTAGCCTGTCATAATAATATAATTTAAAAATTCAGCTGAGAGCAGCAATGAATGGGGTTCACAGGATGACAGAAAGGACAGAAGATCAGTTGGATAACAAAGCAAGCACTCTATCATGTAGAAACTATCTTCATTTATGTGCAATCAGTAAAAGCTTTACCATGTTTATCTCTCAATACACAAGGATGACGCAAGTGAAGTTTAGTCTAGTGTTCTAGGTTGGTTTGAATGCAGCAGGTAATCATTCTTAAAGTCATCACTTAATGTATTGAGTTGATATACTGATAAAAAATATAAGTGCAACATGTAAAGTGTTGGTCCCATGTTCCATGAGCTGAAATAAAAGAACCCCGACATTTTCCATATGCACAAAGATATTATTTATTCCAATTTTGTGCACAAATTTGTTTACATCCCTGTTAGTGAACATTTCTCCATTGCCAAGATAATCCATCCACCTGACAGGTGTGGCATATCAAGAAGCGGATTAAACAGCATGATCATTACCCAGGTGCACCTTGTGCTGAGGACTACAGCTCAGTGTTCAACACCATAGTGCCCTCGAAGCTCATCACTAAGCTAAGGACCCTGGGACTAAACACCTCCCTCTGCAACTGGATCCTGGACTTCCTGACGGGCCACCCCCAGGTGGTAAGGGTAGGTAACAACACATCTGCTACGCTGATCCTCAACACAGGGGCCCGTGCTCAGTCCCCTCCTGTACTCCCTGTTCACCCATGACTGCATGCCAGGCACGACTCCAACACCATCATTAAGGTTGCTGACGACACAACAGTGGTAGGCCTGATCACCGACAACAATGAGACAGCCTATAGGGAGGAGGTCAGATATCTGGCCGTGTGGTGACAGGATAACAACCTATCCTTCAACATGATCAAGACAAAGGAGATGATTGTGGACTACAGGAAAAAAAAAAGGACTGAGCACGCCCCCATTCTCATCGACGGGGCTGTAGTGGAACAGGTTGAGAGCTTCAAGTTCCTTGGTGTCCACATCACCAACAAACTATCATTGTCCAGTTGTGAAGAGGGCACGACAAAGCCTATTCCCCCTCAGGAGACTGAAAAGATTTGGCATGGGTCCTCAGATCCTCAAAAAGTTATTCAGCTGCACCATCGAGAGCATCCTGACTGGTTGCATCACCGCCTGGTATGGCAACTGCTCGGCTTTTGACCGCAAGGCACTACAGAGGGTAGTGCGTACGGCCCAGTACCTCACTGGAGCCAAGCTTCCTGCCATCCAGGACCTCTATACCAGGCAGTGTCAGAAGAAGGCCCTAAAAATTATCAAAGACTCCAGCCACCCTAGTCATTGACTGTTCTCTCTATTACCGCACGGCAAGTGGTACCGGAGCACCAAGTCTAGGTCCAAAAGGCTTCTTAACAGCTTCTACCCACAAGCCATTAGACTCCTGAACAGCTAATCATGGCTACCCAGACTATTTGCATTGCCCCCCCACCCCACCCCACCCCATCCCCCTCTTTTACGCTGCTGCTACTCTGTTGATTATTTATGCATAGTCACTTTAACTCTACCCACATGTACAGTGCCTTGCGAAAGTATTCAACCCCCTTGGCATTATTCCTATTTTGTTGCCTTACAACCTGGAATTAAAAATTGATTTTTGGTGGGTTTGTATCATTTGATTTACACAACATGCCTACCACAAAAAAACAGAAAACTTCAGCGTGCATAACTATTCACCCCTCCCAGAGTCAATACTTTGTAGAGCCACCTTTTGCAGCAATTACAGCTGCAAGTCTCTTGGGGTATGTCTCTATAAGCTTGGCACATCTAGCCACTGGGATTTTTGCCCATTCTTCAAGGCAAAACTGCTCCAGCTCCTTCAAGTTGGATGGGTTCCGCTGGTGTACAGCAATCTTTAAGTCATACCACAGATTCTCCATTCCAAGACATTTAAATGTTTCCCCTTAAACCACTCGAGTGTTGCTTTAGCAGTATGCATAGGGTCATTGTCCTGCTGGAAGGTGAACCTCCGTCCCAGTCTCAAATCTCTGGAAGACTGACGCAGGTTTCCCTCAAGAATTTCCCTGTATTTAGCGCCATCCATCATTCCTTCAATTCTGACCAGTTTCCCAGTCCCTGCCGATGAAAAACATCCCCACAGCAAGATGATGCCACCACCAGGCTTCACTGTGGGGATAGTGTTCTCGGGGTGAGGAGAGGTGTTGGGTTTGCGCCAGACATAGCGTTTACCTTGATGGCCAAAAAGCTCAATTTTAGTCTCATCTGACCAGAGTACCTTCTTCCATATGTTTGGGGAGTCTCCCACATGCCTTTTGGCGAACACCAAACGTGTTTGCTTATTTTTTTCTCTAAGCAATGGCGTTCTTCTGGCCACTCTTCTATAAAGCCCAGTTCTGTGGAGTGTACGGCTTAAAGTGGTCCTATGGACAGATACTCCAATCTCCGCTGTGGAGCTTTGCAGCTCCTTCAGGGTTATCTTTGGTGTCTTTGTTGCCTCTCTGATTAATGCCCTCCTTGCCTGGTCCGTGAGTTTTGGTGGGTGGCCCTCTCTTGGCAGGTTTGTTACATGTTCCTTCCATTTTTTAATAATGGATTTAATGTTGCTCCGTGGGATGTTCAAAGTTTCAGATATTTCTTTATAACCCAACCATGATCTGTACTTCTCCACAACTTTGTCCCTGACCTGTTTGGAGAGCTCCTTGGTCTTCATGGTGCCACTTGCTTGGTGGTGCCCCTTGCTTAGTGGTGTTGCAGACTCTGGGGCCTTTCAGAACAGGTGTATATATACTGAGATCATGTGACAGATCATGTGACACTTAGATTGCACACAGGTGGACTTTATTTAACTAATTATGAACGTACGGACTTCTGAAGGTAATTGGTTGCACCAGATCTTATTTAGGGGCTTTTTAGCAAAGGGGGTGAATACATACAGTTGAAGTCGAAAGTTTATATACACCTTAGCCAAATACATTTAAACTCAGTTTTTCACAATTCCTGACATTTAATCCTAGTACAAATTCCCTGTCTTAGGTCAGTTAGGATCACCACTTTATTTTAAGAATGTGAAATGTCAGAATAATAGTAGAGAGAATTATTTATTTCAGCTTTTATTTCTTTCATCACATTCCCAGTGGGTCAGAAGTTTACATACATAGTATTTGGTAGCATTGTCTTTAAATTGTTTAACTTGGGTCAAACGTTTCGGGTAGCCTTCCACAAGCTTCCCACAATAAGTTGGGTGAATTTTGGCCCATTCCTCCTGACAGAGCTGGTGTAACTGAATCAGGTTTGTAGGCCTCCTTGCTCGCACACGCTTTTTTCAGTTCTGCCCACAAATGTTCTATAGGATTGAGGTCAGGGCTTTGTGATGGCCACTCCAATACCTTGACTTTGTTGTCCTTAAGCCATTTTGCCACAATTTTGGAAGTATGCTTGGGGTGATTGTCCATTTGGAAGACCCATTTGCAACCAAGCTTTAACTTCCTGACTGATGTCTTGAGATGTTGCTTCAATATATCCACATAATGTTCCTTCCTCATGATGCCATCTATTTTGTGAAGTGCACCAGTCCCTCCTGCAGCAAAGCACCCCTACAGCATGATGCTGCCACCCCCGTGCTTCACGGTTGGGATGGTGTTCTTCGGCTTGCAAGCCTACCCCCTTTTTCCTCCAAACATAACGATGGTCATTATGGCCAAACAGTTCTATTTTTGTTTCATCAGACCAGAGGACATTTCTCCAAAAAGTACGATCTTTGTCCCCATGTGCAGTTGCAAACCGTAGTCTGGCTTTTTTATGGCGGATTTGGAGCAGTGGCTTCTTCCTTGCTGAGCGGCCTTTCAGGTTATGTCAATATAGTACTTGTTTTACTGTGGATATAGATACTTTTGTACCTGTTTCCTCCAGCATCTTCACAAGGTCCTTTGCTGTTGTTCTGGGATTGATTTGCACTTTTTGCACCAAAGTACGTTCATCTCTAGGAGACAGAATGCGTCTCCTTCCTGAGCGGTATGACGACTGCGTGGTCCCATGGTGTTTATACTTGCGTACTATTATTTGTACAGATGAACGTGGTACCTTCAGGCATTTGGAAATTGCTCCCAAGGATGAACCAGACTTGTGGAGGTCTACAATTTTTTTCTGCGGTCTTGGCTGATTTCTTTTCATTTTCCCAAAGAGGCACTGAGTTTGAAGGTAGGCCTTGAAATACATCCACAGGTACACCTCCAATTTAATCAAATTATGTCAATTAGCCTATCAGAAGCTTCTAAAGCCATGACATCGTTTTCTGGAATTTTCCAAGCTGTTTAAAGGCACAG